CCTGAGTCCATGACATTTTTGTGTGTAACAGTATTCTAAAGTCTTACTGTAGAAATTATAAAATATAATTATAGTATATTAAAAAAACCCCAAACCCCAAACAAACAACCTAGGGATTTAAAAGGACAAACCAAAATTTGTTATTTGCTATTGTTGAGGTTTAACAGGATTCACATTTCATGGCCTAACAGCACTTTTCCCTTTTAGTGCAGTATCTGCTTACATTGCTCAGCCAGGCTTGTTGCCATCTAGAGAATCATATAAAACTCAATATTCAAACCACCTTCTTTCTTCTCCTTATTGAGATATCCATCTACTTGCAGCTGCCAAGTACACTGATTTTTTCTTTTTCTATGACCTTCTCTCCTCAGATCTCAGTCTACCACCCTGGGCTCCCCTGCCCTGTCCTCAGGAAGGGCACATTCTGCCACCCACCTCTTAACCTCCTGCAGCTCTAGCCTGCAAGGGATGGCTGCCAAATTGGGGACTTGGCTGCCAAACCAGGGACTTCTGAGGAGCTACTTTGGGCCTGTGCAGCCCTAGCCCCAGCTTTGCCTCCAAACACCTGCTCAATATGGAGCATCACCTTTCTTCAGGCCAGCTTCAGGATGAGAGTCTGCACTGCCTTTGCTGAGCAGCCCATTGATCCCTCCCTCAATGGTGAAATCCTGCCCAAATCACCAAGTGCTCTCAGGATTTCTCAAGTATTTTTTTGGAGGATGACAACACTGGCCTCCAGAAAGTATTGGTATGTCAAAAAAAGAAGATTGAATAATGAGAGAAGTCCTAAATCTGCTCTGATAGGGAATAAAAAGTGGCTTTCAGTGACAAGTTCTAGACTTTCATTCTAGAGACATCTACAGCAAGGCAGTAACCTCTCTCACCCAAACCTGAGGCACAATGTCTCGTACTCCCACATGATGAATAAGGGGATGATAACAGGGAAGGGAAGCAGACTTTGCTCAAAGCTATCAAGCCTCTCTGTGAAGCAGGCTGGGCTGTGTGGAGACTGAAGACATTAGCTGTCATTTTGTATGAAAATTATATGTACTCAGCAGCTGAATAATATTCCAGCAGGTTACAATGATTTACATATAACAAAGTAAAAACTGGGGAACAGGGAGTGAGCAAGAAATGGGATACCTCAGAGAGATCATGGAGGGGCTTGGTGGTTCAGATACTCAGGAAACGAGTAGGAATAGCCACAGCCCTACCTGAGATGGGAGAAATCAGACCTAAATTGGGAAAATACATCCCTTGGGGTACTGTAAGGTCATGGAGATTCCCTCTGTGCAGAGGAGGATGCGAAGGGAAAAGGGTAATGGGGAAGGATGGTCCAAGCCTGGTCATTTTCCAGGCACTGAGGCACCACACAGGTGTGGCATTGCCAGGTTGTCCTGTGTTGGTTGGTGAATTAAGAGTCCATACACCATTGCCACTGGTACATATCCATGTCTCCCTGGAGTGCAAAGTGGACCACAGCATGGGCAGGTGACTGTGAAGAGGCAGAAAGTAAAGTGGGATAAAGGGGGGACTTCTCCTCCTCATGGTACCGACATGGACACATCAGTGTTGTGACACGAAGGATACATCATCGCCCTGGGGTGCCACAGCCACCTCAAAAGCTGCCTGGGCTGGTAGGGATGCCACAGGTCACAGTCCTGCTCCTGATCCCCTCTGTATTGCAGGAGCAGGCCATATCCCAAGGCCATCATCTCTGGCACCACAAACCCCTGGGTGAAATCCATCTATTTCATCCTTACCAAAAAGAAGCTGTGACACATGTATCCACATCCCCTTACACTAACTTGTGTGCTAATCTGTGAGGCTTCTCCTGCCCTGATTATTCATGAGGCAATAATTCAGATACCCCATAGACACTGAGCTGCAGACTTTCTAAAAAGGCTTTTTATTTTCTCTCAGAAGGTTGTAAAATGACGTCAGATGGACTAGAGACTTGTCATTTGTTTTATGATTTATGTAAGTAATTATGGAGCATGATGGAATAATGTGGAGGTTGGTAGGAATGTCCCAAACCCACCAGCAGCTCTATTGGAAAAGAAAAGCCCCATTGTTTCCAAAGAGCCAGTAGAAACATGGAATGTTTCTTGATGTCACTGTATTCACTAATTAGACTAGAAAGAAGATTATGTTTAATTAATGTCATTCTTTTTAATATTGCCCACATAATCTCTATTTGTGCTTAACCTTCTCCTTCTTGCTATTGCTTGCTCTATTGCTTTTGTTTCAGTTTTGATTCCTGCTGTTTCAGAAGCACTTTACCTGTCAAGCCACAGGAGCTGCTTATCCTCACAGATCTTCAGGATGGCCAGCAGCTATTTCTGCAAACTGGGGTATCCTTGACTTGAAAGGCAAATACAATCCTCTGGCATCAAAGTAACAGATTAGTGCCCCGAATTTTCTGGTGCATCATTAAAAAAAATAATAATTTACAGCTGTCACAAGAAACAGAACATAATTTTGTTGACAACTTGCTGGTTGTCAACATTGCTCCTTCATTTGCAACTTCCAATTGCTTCATGAAGGAGAAATAGCTTTTAAGGAAGCAGCAACCTTCCCCTTATCCTTGCAAAGCTACTTTGAAAACAAACAAGGAGTTTTCAGTTGTGGCTTAGTCTTCTCCAATAATTGTGACTCTTGCAGTTCACCTTCAAAACACTTCTTGCATGTGTTCCTCCTTCCCCTTCCAAACCAAAATTAGTGCAACAATTCAGCAATGTGTTGCAGGAGGAAGATTTTCAGCAATCAGGGTGGCCACCATGGACAATTTTAGGCATTCAGACTTGGGGATTGTACTAAACTCATGAAAAAGGCTAGCAGAGAGGCTTTGAGACAGCTGGGAAGGCAGCTATCACTAACATGACTATTGCTGCTCTGCCCTGGCCCTGGACACCCCTTGCTCTGACTGTGGCACCAGAGAGCCATCAGACAACAGTCCTGTGCATTCACTGCCCAGTTTTGTAATGATGACCCACAGGTGGACATTTTGACCCCGGCTCAATAGCCACAGCCCTACCTGATATGGAAGAAATCAGACCTAAATTGGCTGTGATTTGGGAGACAGGGAGTTTGTTCTTATCCAACAGCTGAATTAAACTTCCTAGAAAGCCGGCTGTGACACAGCAGGACAGGATGTGAAGGGCTTATTTCTTGACAGAGCTAACCAGGAAGGCTTCTAGGGAGCCCAGATGGTGCTCTTCAACAAATGAGCCTCAGAAAACCACAGCTAAGGAAACAGAATGGGAACAAGCCAGTTCAGCAATGGGATAACTAGTCAGAGCAGTTCTGGGGCTCCAGAGAAAGCATGTGGCCAAACAGATGGTCTTAGGCAAAGTAGCTTGAGAGATTTCCACCTCTCAGAAGTGTGAATTCTTGGCTGCATTTACTTCTCATTGTTATCCTTCAGTTTTACAAAAGCCCTGTTTATTGGTCTCTGTGCATAATGCAGATGGTACATAATCTTAGATTAATACTGGACATGTCATATTTCTGGTGTTCCATTTAGCTGGCTGGTTTTCACTCCCATGAGTGAGAAAACAACAAGCCATAGGGCCACAGAGAAACTGAGAAGATGGGTTCCTACAATCTGTGTGAGTAGATGTCTTGTGGAGTTCAGGGAGGGAATTTAGAAACCTTCCCATGGTCTGATCCAGTGCTCACAGGAGTCCATGGAGCACACTATAATATTTGGTTTTGCTGTGATTTATTTCATATTAGGAAGTTTTTTTCTTCCCTTATGAATAAAGGAGGAGCTCAGGGACTTTTATGTCCCCCAGTTAAATGAACCTGGGAAGTACCATCATAAAAAAAACATTATGAAGCACTCGAGCAGCTTGTAAATACTGAGGGTTTTATTTCCACTTCACATGGTCTCAAACAGACTCTTAAACAAGACCAGTTACAATTTAGTATGCCCAGAGATTTCCATGGTTTTTCCAAAACGAAGGAAGTTCTCAGTAAACGCTGTACATAACCAGTTGAACTGCTAACAATAATTTAAAAACTCTTTTTTGTATAGTCAATGCAAGAATACCAACGATAAAAGTACAGTACAGGTAAATTCACAACAATATTACAGTGAAACAGATTGACTCACATTTATGTGATGGTACAGTAGCAGTATGTACATGCACTAAAGTGCGAGGACCCAGAGGCATGCAAGTCAAGTATTGTAGGTGTATTTTACAGCTAACTCTGTAAGACTTTCTGAGGCATTCTTTTCTTATTTTTTTACACATTTACTTGTGTTTACCTGTATTCCCCTCCATTTCAATTAATTACAAGTCTAGTGAACGAGCTTAATGGCTTTCTTCACTACTTAAAAGGTATCGCTTCAGACAGTTGAAGCATCTTTAAGAACCTTACCTTTAAAAACTGATAACACTGACATTAAAATAGAAAAAAATTAACTTAAGACCCTAGTTTTACATGAAATTAAAAAAAACCAACCCAAAATACCCAAAATCAAAACTGAAAACGTAACAGTGCAAATATAACCAAAAGGCAGTCAGTATTTGGAGAGAGCGCGAGCACGTATTCAAATTCCCTTAAAACTTAATTTACATTTTATTTTAAATCTTACTTTATATCATTTTAACCTTTTTTTTTTTGCTGTTTTTGTTAATATACTGTATGTAGAAAAGATGGAGACAAAAATAGTTTTCTCAGCTATGAAAAAAATTAAGTTATTACAGGCACATTAACTGTTTCATTCCAGAAACACCTCTGTTTCCCAGGTTGCACATTCAGCAGCTGTGTCTGAGAACATTCTTTGACCTCTCTCTCCAAGCAGACCTCCCTCCTTGCGTGGCAGGGATGGCTGGCGGGCGACCTGGCGGAGGCGAGCGGTGTCCCGCCCTGCTCTCGTGTGCGGTCAGGCCGGATCGCCTCCCTGGCTGGGGGTCTCTGCCAGCAGCTCCTCGCTTCCGCGCTCCTCTGAGGACGCCAGGTCTCCGGTGGACTGCGACTGTGAGGCAGTGGGGGAATGTGAGGCCCATCGTGACGGTGGGCGCCGCTTCGCTGGTCTCTCTGGCCGGGAGAAGCAGGGTTGGAGGGACGGGGCTAGTGCAGAACAAGGCAGTTCCTTGGCAGCCAAGAGAGCAAAACAGCGGTTAGTGACTCGCGTTAGAGACCGTCGGGATGCGCGAAGAATTGCGAAACAAACCCGCCAAACTAAAGCTAAGCGCGTGTCGTGGCGCAGGACAAAAGCAAGCAGCGAACACCTGGCTGGGTGAGGGCTCCAGGAATCTGCACGTGAGTCCGTGATTTATGGAACAGGTAAGGAGACAATGAAAGAAAGAGGGTGAGTTGGAGTGGCTGAAACACTTTCAATTGCTATTTGTCCTTGTGCTAGAAAGAGAAGAGCCTGAAAAGTACATTTGCATAATAATTCAGGAAACTCCACTGTTCAACACTTTAAGTGCTGACCTGGCATAAAAAGGCTAGGTTTGGCATTTGCAAGACAGGTGAAAAATCAACCACTGTCTCCTTTTCTTCGCCTTCAGAATTCAGACTTGACATGCAGGAGACTTCTTAGCACAGATAATGACTACAGGGGTAGTTATGATCTCCAGCTGGGTTAAAGATGAGGCTTACCTACAGATTTCATTTTCTGGAACACCACTGCTAACTGCCAGCTGCTGAAGCCTGAATTACAGGATTCAGAGGTACTCTTTGTTAAAGGCAACATTCACAGAAATGGAAGAAATTGGAAATTTTATTCCTTCACTGAGTTTCTACTGTTCTAGCTTGGTTAGTTTGCCTTTGCAATTAGAAACAATCTGCAGTTGTGATTTTTCACCCTGGTAATGCTTTTAATATTCACTTTGCTCAAGGTACAGTTGTGCTTCCTGCCTTGCTCTGAATGCTCCCTACATCAAGATGAGTGATTGTGGAAGCAAGTCTGTCTCACAGGGCCAAAGTCAAACTTCTGAATTTCACTGCATACTTTGAAACTTGTAAAAGCAAATCAGAGCAGTTTGCCAACATCTAGCAATGTGTACACCAAGCAGCAGTCACTGGAATGTACAGGGGAGTTCAGTAAAAAGCAAAGTCAGAATGCAAACCGGTGATAAATGAAGAGAGAGACCAGAAATGATACAATGCAAAGGAAAAGCTGTGGCACAGTAAGATGCAGGGATACCAAGGCAGCAGGGAGGCCAGGATTCAGCACACTGTTTCTCATGGAGAAGGAGAATAGTCACTAAGGGTGGAGAATATTGGAGTAGGTAACATGATGTGATTGACAGTGAACAAACAAAGTGATACAACATTGAACTTTTCAATTGCAGTGGAAGACCAAACATGAATGTCAAAGGACAGAAAGACCAGTTTTGAAGACATAGAGCTGAGGTATGAGAAATGGAACTGGTGACACCTGTTTTGCAGAGAATGCATTCGTGGACTCGGGGGAAGCCTCAGTGAAGGGTCAACACAGGTGTTTTGGGCAGCATGCAGCCAATGGAGTGATCTACAACTGCACACCAGTGCTTGAGAAAGAGCTATGGCCAGCTGCCCTTGGCACTCACAGAGCACCCCAGCCTGCTCTGCATCCTCACCCCCTATCCCATCTCTGTGCCATTAAATTCACAACCCTTGCTAAAACAGCAGTAAGACTGAAATAGAAATGGGTGCTAACAAAAAGATTGACTGTGTGTCCTTACTTCACCTTATCCCATTGTGCCTGGGGCAGCATATGGTCTGTGAAAGCTGCCACTAGACTCAGATTTGTGAAGAGAAATCCATCTGCACAGCAACAGTCATGGGCAGCACAACACAGTGAATTGAGGCTATGAGATTTGCGGGTTTTGTCTTAACCTCTTTCAAAAAGGAGGCTTAAAATGATATCTTTATAGTGCTGCTTGCTCCCGGCTGCTTTATCCTAGTTTTGGAGCAGTAAATCAGAGTTAGCACAGCGATAACAAAATCTATTTCCACTGCTGCCTCCCCGTTCAAAAGCCTCTCTCCAGCACACCTGCAGATGTTGGTCAGCTTTTACCAAACAGCAAGGTTAAGCTCATCTTATCTGTGATGTACACATGCCCAGCAGCACACAAGGCTGTGCTGGTGATGGATATTGCTCCAGGGCCAAAAGTGACTGGCAGCATAATCTTATGAAGTGCTGGCTGCTGAGTCAGTCACCCCCACCTGCAGGGTGGAAATCCAGGCATGACAAGGAAACTCTGCAGAATGGTTTGTGAAAACCCCTTCTCCCTTACTACATGTAGCTGTCATAGCTAGAAATGATTTAAAAAAAATAAATAACCTGTGGGTAATTTAGTTTGGTAGTTGCTCAGGGGTGTAGGTGGATAGGCAGCATTTCTTAGCCTGAGCACGGAAAATGGGAAAGATGTTCTCAGCTTCAATTTCTAGCTATTTCCTAAAACAGGCAGTCAGCCACCATGGCTATGTCTATAGTAATAAATAAAGAAAACAGTTTTCTCTTCTCTCTGAGGCAGAGTGGATGGTCACAGCTTATATCTGCACCGTGTCTTTCCTCTACTGTGGCAACTGCAGCCACTGGACAGAACTGGGCCCAGAACTGCTTAATGAGCAAAGGTGACTTTAGGCTTTAGCCCCAGGCTGGTGCTGAAGCCCCTTCCCAGCCCTCTCCACCTGCTGCTGCAGCCAGAACTGGAGGGAAGGCGTTCTGGGGCAGCCGGAAGCCCTGCGCAGTGCCGTGCATTTGTCAGGGAAAAAAAAAAAAAAAAAATTATCACAAATCTGAATCCCTCCCCAGCATTTTTGCATACCTTTCTGTTGGTCTTCAATGCTGCCAATTTTTAAAAGCTTAGCAAAAATCCCCAACAGCACAAATTTTGACTTAAGTGGGACGTCTTCCTAGCCTGTGCTGCTGCAGGATGGGACACAGCAGATGAGCTCCTATCCTGAACTCCTCCTGACTGTCCCATACAAAGAACCCCACAGAGATGTCAGGTGTGTGCTGATACCCTTGGAGTTGTGCTGAACTCCACAGGTGTGTGCTGATACCTCTGGAGTTGTGGCCATTTATTTCCCTCTGTTGACCCCCGTGTTCAAGAATGACCGCTTTCGGAAAGCTCTGGAAACAAGGTAGAAAGGACTTACAGCAGTGAGGCAGGCAGGGTTAGAGTCCCCAGGGGGTAGTTAATAAGACAGTTTGGTTCTGGACAGAACAGACAGAAAAGAAAAAGAAAGCAAGTAGGTTGGAAAGAACTGTTTTAATTGATTATTTTTTTAAAGTGAAGATTTCATGTCAGCAAGGAAGAAGTCTCCCGATGTTACTACTCATTCAGATCATGTTACCAGTGTTATCACAGGGAAACTAATAATCAAAAATAAAAGCCAAGCCACTAGAAGAAAAAGACTTAGAAAGTAAGGAAGCAAACAAACCAACCTTTTACAATCCTAGCACAGTTTCAGAAGTGGACATATCAATAAACAAACCAAACATTTCTACTCAGTAAAGAAAGATATCTGTTTTTCTTTGCCAACCTTGATTTGGGCTAGGGAAAAACCATATTACTATGAGAGGAATAAAGCTGTATTTTTTTTTCCCTTAATTTGATTTCAAGAGAGAGTTTCTGCTTAGGAAATCTTTAACAAGCAAGAAAATGGCTGTTATTGTTTGTTGCTTACACTTCTATTTCTCAGGTTTCATGACAGCTCTTTGCCTCACCTTTCTCCGTTGTTTCTCTTCAGCAGTGATGCTGGATGGGAAATCCAAGCTTAACCAAAAGCCCTTTAATTCTGCACCTCCCCTGATTTTCAACATTCCCCCTCCCATGCTGAGTGGTTCAGTGGCAAGCCTGTGGCAACTGCTTTGCCCTCTGGAAAGCAGAGGATGCAGCACCTGCTCTCTCATCTGTGGGTCTGTGTGGATGGTTCTTTCACAGTGTTGTCTCCAGAAATGAGTCTGATTCCCAGTCCAGGACTGTTGTGTAACCTCCACAATCTATACCCTTGCTAGTTATAAAAGCAAAAATGTTCCTAAAGCGCTTATGTTGTTAGTTACATAATGCTAATCTGCATTTTTAAGAGTAAAATGGATAAATCCTATGATACACATGTAAGTTAGGGGTTTATTCAATTTACAGAATAAGACACTAGTAGGCCACACTATGTGGATTATGAATTTGCCTGTAAGCAGCTCTGGGCAAGTCAGAAAACACAAAGTTATTGCTGCTCTGTATGCATATACACTCACACACACATGCATTTGTACATAAATAGATAAATATATGAACTAGATTTCATATTTGCTGCAGGAATATAGAAGAATATAGAAGAAAATTATGTAACTAAACAACTCAGAAGCTCAAATTGAGAAAAAGTCACCAACAGGTGCTGCATGCAAGTTTAAAAGTCATTTATATGCCATGGCTGCAGAATCTAGAAGGCGTTTGGTAGTAAGAAGGGCACTTGACTTGGCCAGAAACCAACAGGTCAGAAGGAAGAAGAGCAGGGATCTACTGGAGGGTGGAAGCATTGTGTCAGTGCTGCCCCAAGCACAAACCTGCTCCTTTAAGATCATAACTCCCTGAACAGCTGTGTCTGGCTTTGCACAAAATGTGCTAAGAGAATTTGTACAAAGTGTAATTTGTGTGGTTAGGGTAATCCACAAATAACCCAAGGCACCTGCAGAGTCTAAACTTATTTGTGGGTGGTTTTTTTCAGCAGCAAACCCATGCTTCCCTTGAGTACATCTTCCAGAGCACTACCTCAGCTAGGAAAAGCTAAGCTCATTGTGTGAATGCCCACCAGTTTCCTTTTCAATCCACATTCCTGAGAAATGCCAGGACCAGCCGAAGAACAAAACCCATGCATCTAGACTACAGTCATAATAGTCATGTAGGAGCTGCAAGGAAAAACAAGTCTTAGCTCTAGGGCTCATAACTCAAAAAATTAGGCAAAAGATAGTGAGAATTCACAAAAAGGAGCAGTTTTCTGCCAGTTTGATGGTCAATAAGTTTTTGCTAAATAGCATTGACCCAAATCTCTCTGGGCATCAAACTCAGGTACTGTTGCTAGTTTGTGTTTTTCCAACAGCAATTTGTGATCATGTGGGATGACATCCGTCCACCTATATTTGAAATCTACTGAGGCAGTTAAAAGATACAGGAGTAAATAAAGAGTTTCCAGGGTTACCTTGAAGGCAAAGCTGAATTGAACTTGGCAGAGTACAACACACTTCCTAATACAGATCAGTAGTGTATTCCCAGTATTTCAAACTAAGGACAAAATACAGAGATAGCTGGAAAAAGTCAAATTAATGAGGCTGCTTCCCACCTTTATTCACTCTGAGGTTTGTGCACAAAGACCATTTTCACTCACTAGTATTTATAATGTGCATGTGGTTTCTTTTCCTTTTTTAATTGAAAAACGTCCCTGCTTATATCTGTTTAAACTGCACATAGGGAATAAATTCTTAGGTTTGGGTTGTCTGTTAGGAAAAAAGGATTACATCCTCTGAGCAATGCCTACAAAAAAGGAACTGACTGTATATTGAGAACCACCCACTAGGGCAAGGCAAACTGCAGACCAAAGGTTTCAGCACTCAGGCTCTCGGAAATCCTTCACACCAAATGTTGAGTTAGAAAATGGGGTTTGAACTTCCCCTTTTGAAGTATCTGAGGCAGGGGTAGTAGGAGTCTGCTCAGTGAAGGCAAAGTGCATATATGGGGTGTGCAGGGGTATATGGGGTGTGCAGGGGTGTATGGGGTGTGCAGGGTTCAAGGAGCTGCTTCCTTGGAGCCAGGGCTCACCACAAGACTAGGATGCTAAAGGAGCAGCACAAGGCAGAGAGGATGAGGAGCCTCTGCCCTGGGGACTGTCACCAACCAGCAGCACACACCCCTTTTCATGGCTGTACCATGAAAGGCAATATATGCATGTAAGACCTGGGCATAACTCAGCTTTTCTGGGCTCTTAAGAATAAGACTCTCAAGTGCTCTCAGAGGTTCAACAGAAACAGGAGGTTTAAATACTGGTAACTGAAAGCTTTCTTCCATCATTACACCTTCTTTTTTTTTGTTGATTGCTGTTGCACCTGAGACTGACCCCCAATATCTGGGCACACCTGCTGAGACAGATGATGACTTGACAAAATATCAGCAAGGAGTTCTTAAACATTTAATAGGTGTGTGTCTAGATTAGTTGATATGTGTATTTTTTGCTTTTTGTTATTTTTGTGAGGCAGCAGCAGTCAGTACCAAACATCATGCCATTCAATCACATTCACAGACCTCAGCCAAACTTAATCAGATACATTCAGAAAAGATATGCTGAAGGCCCTGAAGTTTTGCTCCAGGGTACTGTAGAGACTATTTTTCACACAAACTTGTTAAGGCTCATTCTTGTGTAGGAGAAAGAATCTACCTTTCCATGCAGCATAAAAAATTTATTCAAACCTAGTGTACCTAGAGCATCTGTAATGTGTGGTGTATTTTGTGACAGAAAACCCTTATCCCAGCCATTCAGTGAAGAACGATTTTTTATCCCATAAAGGATAAAACTTTGCTGATGCTTTCAAGCCAAATAAGCTGCCAGGATAGAAATTCAATTCTTTCATGCATTCTTCAGTGACTAATCCAAAGTTTCATGACTGGAAATTGCTGGTGGTACCAGGACAGGACTAGGATATTCACTGTAAATACTCAGTAGGACTGCAAGAGATCTCATAATACATTTGCTCAAAGAAGAGTGCACTTAGCTATAGGAGGAAAAACAAGCAAATTCATTACCTCTATGGACCCTGGATCTACTTTGACAATTTCTCCTGTGCTGTTGTCATTGCTAAGATTTGGTGGGCTGTGTGAACGTAGCCTTCTCTCTTCCTTTAAGGCATGCTCCAAAAGTTTCTTATTCAAGATCCTGGCAGCATTTTCTGCAAGTGTGTACCCTGGAGGAGCAGATAAGTCCTGCCTAATACTTGTCACCTCAGATCCTTCTTCCTTTTGTGTCTCTGTCCCCAGACGGAGAGGACTGGGTGATCTGCCACGGGCATTTGTACATGGCTCCTGCAACGTGCCCAGTTCTGGTCTGGGTTCAGCTGACCTGGACCGGCTGCCAGATCTGGGGCATTTTTGGAAGGTCTCATGAAAGATGGGGCTATGGTCGATGATGTTGAACAAACTGGACAGGCCGTCGTTGATAGTGGTGTGCACAGGACTCTCCCGTGTGGTGGTTGATCGAGCCCAAGCGGACTCACTGAATCCCTTCTGAGGTGTGCCAGGCAAAGTCCGGTTATTTGGCTGGTCTGATTTGGGAAGGGCTTTCCTTTGCAGCTTCGGAGAGCCGTATTTGGGGGAGCAGCATGTGCGTTCAAACTTAGCCTGGACCTTCTCAATGACGGGGGTCACCTGCCTGCTCCTCAGGCTTCTGGATGGTGAGGAGACAGGCGTGGACCCCCCCTTTGGTGTCAGACACTTGTGTGGACTGCTGGTGATACTGCGCAGGGTTTCCGTCTGCAGGCCGACGCTGATGGTCTGGGTGGTCTGTGTCCCTGTCGTCCTCATGCCGTTGGTCTGGCACGCCGTGTCCTTGAACTGGGGCTCCGTGGAGTTGGAGCGTATCGCATTCCGGACAGAGAAAGCGACCTCCTTCATGTCATCGCTCATGTTCTTGGACATCTCCAAGCTGTGCAAGGGTGAGGCAAAGCCCACAGTAGTGCAAATAGGACGTTCAATGGGATGAAGACCGTTCTCCAGAAAATCTTTATGGTGTTTGGCCAGGTCACAGGACCACCTTCCAAACATGTCCGAGGAAGCACCTTTTGTCTCAGTGACGTTCCCCATAGCTTTGGTCACAGAAAAGAGGAAATCTGGCTCAGCCTGGCTTTTCCCTTCACTGCCAGCTATCACTGAGTTATCAAACCTACGGACAACCGGCGGGCTGTGGAATACCCGCACTCCCATTTTGTCAGTAACACTGTGACTCCTCACTGGCTGCTTCTGGCAGTGCTCTGGGCTGGTCATGGTGTTGGTGGTCATAGTGACACTGGTGGTGAGGTACCATGAGGATGCCTGGAATGGATCTGAAGCAGGATCCTTCCCAGCTTTTCCAGTTTCTGTCCTTTCTGCCCAACCCTCTGCAGGCTTCTCAGTTGCCCCACCATGGCTCCTAGTGTCATTGTAATCCCAGTTTTTGTTGAACTCCTCAATGTATTTCAGATCATCAGGAGACAAGGGAGGTGTTATGTCATCTTTGCTGCCAGATGAAGGCAAATTTTTTTCTGGTAGAAATGGAGAAATATCCATCAGGCGCTGAAATTCGGACATGGAAGAAACAGACATTGCCCTGGAGAGAGGAACACAAGAGAGTCACTCATGAGCCTGGAAATTGTTGCAGAGTAACTTATTTTCAGCAGCAAACTCTGGATACCCAACATTCACCATCTTCTTACATATAAAACCACTTCAATCATTGAATCATTGACTGTCCTGAGTTGGAAGGATCATCCAAGTCTAACTTTTGGTCCTGCACAGGATACCCCAAGAATGACACCATGTGCCTGAGAGAATTGTCTAAACACTTCCTGAACTCTGGCAGGCTTGATACCATGACCACTTCCCTGGGGAGCCTGTCCCCAAGTACACTCTGCATGAAAAACCTCTTCCTAGTTTTCCTTCCTTTAGCTCTTTCTTTCATTTAAGTCCCCTTTTATTATCTTTGCTATAGCTGTGAACACAAACATCTGTGATGTGCCATTAAAAGTACCAAATGGTTTACTAGAGGTTCTTAATTTGCTGCTTTCTCATGGATTACTGCTAGGCAAATATCTGTAATGTTGAGCAGTAGGATGCATCTCAGAATTATACCGTTCAAAGGAAATGAATGTTTGTCATCATACGAGGCACACTTTTCAAAGCAAGTGTAGAGCATTTCTGACCTGCTGGGAAATCATCAAGTCTACCCCCACTTCTGAGACTGCCCAGGCTGCACAGCTGGTGTGCAGTGATGTGGGACATCCAGCAGAAAAGCTGCTACATTGAACTGGCTTGGTGAGTTGAGCTTATGCTGAAGTTTAACCAAGGGAATCTCTCTAAGTGATAATGCTGAATTCTTGGTTCTCCCACATTTTACTAATTTGTACAAATCACAGGCATTCAGATGAGTTATCCTACTGCTTTATTTTAAGAAAAAAATCAAAATTTTTGAATGGCACTAAATAAAAATGCAAGTGAGTGTACTTATCAGAGTTGGTTCAATGAGGTAACTCAAACTGGATGAGAAATCAGCAAGCAGAAATCATGGATCAGTGATCCAAAGGATACAGCCAAGTCACACTGTGAGTCACACTCCGAATCAAGAGCTCCTGCTGCAGTTTGGGTGTGTCTCTGTTAGGGATTCAGGTGAGTATGGTTTCTAAATGGATCTCATAGACTGATGCTCTGGTTTGCATCAGGAGGGCAACCTCAGAGAGAACAGGCTTCATTCCTTTGGGATGAAAATGAGCTGGAAGATGCTCTCCAGAAGCACAACTAATGCATTCTAGGGTTGGGTGGGTATTCAACCCATGGGATAAGACCAGAACCAGTCCAAAGCAAAATATCCCTGACATGCAGCAGCATATCATGTCCTCAGCACCAAGTGTTTTCCTTTACTTTTTTTTCCTTATGCTAGTTTCCTTTCCTTATGGATGTCTGCAGTGTGTACTGCACTGCTTGCTAAGGCAGGCGTAGATTTCACTGTAAGCTGCAGCTTCATGCACTTTCCTAGAGTTTGATCTTTGTGCATGACAGCTGAATGTGGCCCAAGTTAATCAGAGTAGAACTGAAGCATACTGAGACAAATTAATCCCTGGGTGAATCCATTAATCTGGCTTGCAGTTTAGGAGGTGGCATGGCTATGTCCTGGGCCTGTGGCTTGGGTGCAGAGAGTCATAGCTTCAGCAGTTGAGTATTTGCTGGGCTTTCCACTGCAAGTTTTACTCACCTTTGAAGATTTCCTTTGTGTGTTTCTTCCTCCTGAATGAAAACAGAAACAAGCAGGATAAGTTATTTCTAAAGGTGTTGGTGGCATTAGCTTACGGGTATTTTGTCATTCACTTCCCATTAGTTGCACCAGGTATGTTTGTCTCTAAAAAGTGTCTGATTTTCTCTCTGATATAGATTCTTAAAGTGCCAGTGGGAATATTCTTCTCTTTGTACATAGGCAGGAGAGTGGGCAATGCCATCAGGACAACACACTGCACACGTAAAGCCTGTATGCCAAATCTACAACAGCTTTGAACTTTTATATTCCCATGCAATCACAAATAGATGTAGGCCAAAAAAGGCTTTTATTCCCACAATTGATTGTTTCAGACTACATATTTTTGAGCGACTTTTTTCTGTAGAGGCAATCTACTTTATGCTAGAGGCCTGGCTGTGCTGAAATAAAAGATCAACTGAGTTTCTTTCATGTAATATTTCATTATACATTTTCTAGGAACCAACAAGTGGCACCAGTTGAAATTCCTTAAGCTTGATATATTAAATGTGTGGGAAGACTTGCTTGTTTCCTAGATGGAATACCTACAGCTTGCTAATAGCATAAAGATGTTTTTATGGCAGTTATTTCCCTGTGACAATTCCCATAACGAGTTAGGGTTTTAAATAGCTACTTCTGAAGCATTTGTTCTACATTTATTTTAACTGTTTACTTATATTTCTAGTAAACTACAGGGAATGCAAATAGGATCGGGGGGAGAAAAAGAGCATTAGTACTGTACATATTTTATTTGACCTCATGAAATCAAGAACATTACCAAAAGTCCATTTCAAATTGGGACTGTTTAAAAACAGCTCTGCTTAACTCAGCAAATACCTTTCTGGTGTTTATCCTGGGTCAGGGAAAAAAATAGTAGTAAACTGATCCTCCTTGCATTCACTGTGGTATAATTCTGGAGTAACGTCAGTGGTTCAGTGGAGTTACTGCAGAGTAAATCTGACCTAAGTGAATGCTTAATCAGGGTGAAGGCTGGATTGACTTCTACTGCAGTCAGTACCAAAAAGAAAATATAGTGGAAGGTAGAGTCAGCAAGTTGCCTCTGTGCATCCTCAGTTAAGCTACTCATTAAACTCCAATCAGTCTCGCTTCAGCAAACCCTCTGAGGGAAAATTACTTTGCCCAGGTTTCCCCAAAACATGCTTTGAAGGAAAGAAGCTATGCAAATATCACCAAGAACAAATTTTGCTGCCCACCCTTTTGTTAATGGTGGTGATATCTGAAAAACAGAAAAGGGAAGAGAGATTTTCTCTGAAAATCAGACTGAATTTGAAGGAATGGGAACAGCAATCAAAATTAAGCACAAAACTTAGTTCCCTGATAGTGTTACCAACATTCTTTGCTGAGCACTTGGACATGTAGGAAAAAAAGGCTAAGAAATAATAAATATGGGATCCCACACTGCCAGCAATTCACTTATGGTGCCAAGGGAAGAAAACCTAACTGGAACACATAGCTACCTAGCTATGTAACAAGGACAGTCACATTTCTTGCCTCTAAATTTTTTTCTCTTCTTCCTCTCAAAGAACTTGTTTTCTCAATCCTTTTGTTTTGTACCAGCATTTGGGGACAGGGACGCTTGGTTTCACTCAGAAACAATATAAATAAACTGTGAAGACCTGGAACTGATGAAAATAAGCCTGTCATGGTAGAGGACACAGACTTCATTTGCCATTTCCTGCTGTCATCTTTTAGCATTGTGTTTTATATCTTTATAGCTTTATTGTGTGACTTCAGGGTAGGTACTTTGCTGATAAATAACTTTATTTTTTTTACATCTCACTTGCTCATGCTGATCTGCTCAGAAGGCAAATGTGGCAGAACAATCAGAAGTGCCTCTCTACAGCACTTACTGCTTTACTAACAAAGTAAAGCCCATGTTTCTTCATAAATATGTATCTACTTATAATTGGAAAAGACTTATAGACCTTCTAAGCCAATATGTTGTGTCAAATATAGTTCTCATACATAACATAAATGGCCACAAGATGAATTAATCTTTGGAACCTTCGGGCTGGCTCCCAGTTGTCAGGTGACTGACACTGGTCTAATCAGCTTATAAGAAGGAATGGAAACATGTCCATACCAAATTTACTACTGGGTAACTGTAAGCAGTGCCTGTGACACAGTATCTCACTTCCTACAGCAGGGAAGCAGTACTGATTCTGGCAGAAGAGACAACATGACAGCGTGATAAAATGTAAAAAAACTCATACTTCTGTTAGTCCAGTCAAGAATTTCTCCCTCTCCAGCTGCCGAGAGCGATGCTCCTCAGGCTCGTCGGGGGAGTCAAGGGACAGTGACTCCAGAAAGAGGTTTTCCGTGCCGCTGCACCGGTCGCTCTCCTTCAGCTTGGACAGCGAGCGCTCGTCGAACTGGATGGTGTCGGAGTCCGAGTAGGACCTGGAGCCCATGGAACGGGGCACGCGGAAGTTCCCCTGCGGCACAAACGGCCGCCGGCCGCTCTCGCTTGGGTCACACACCAAACCACCTCCTCGCCGTGGGCTCGCTTCCTTCTGCAGCTGCACACAAGGCACATCAAGAGGAGCAGCAATTACTTCTGCAGTGTATGGCATTTGGCAGAACTCATCCTTCCCCGGGAGCAAGGCACCCATGCCCTGGGGATTACAGCCCTGCCCCAGGGGACACTGGCCTTGCTCTGCTGGTTGTTCCACAAAGGGACACGTCTCCAGAACTTTGATGCCATTACTCATGGGATTTTGGGTGACTAAATGTGTATATGCACAGTCTTGCTTATTTACATATGTATGTATACATATATACACACAGAGTATATATGTATATACAAAATAATGCATCTGCCTGCAATCTGATTTTTAAAGAAACAAATCAAGACAGACTGTTATTTAAAAGCAAGCTTGACAGCAGTACAAGTAGAAGCTGATGGAAGGGTGTGCAAATTGCCTTCTCATCAAAACAAAGACATTTTTCTTCTGCTCAGCAACACAAAGATTGCGCTTTTATGTATATCACTTGTTTCCAGAGGTGGAAAATTACGCTTAAAAAAACCCAAAAGCTTTGTTTTATATATGGCCTAGCCTGAATTCATGGCTGGAAAGTTGAGTATTTGTACAGAACAACATTGTCAAAGGGATGAATTAGGCATGCAGAACATGTTCTAAGAAAACGTGTACTTACAGAAGGGGCATCAAAACCATTAACTCTACACTTTTCAAAAAGTGAACCATTAGTGAAATTGCCAATATTAAAATTAGATTATGTGATCAACTTCTCTTGTAATTGTAAATACAACAGGATGGATGAAGTAAGTGATAATTTCAAACATGATAAATGACTGCAGGAATCTGATAAGAACTCTGATGTTTTGCTCGAGTAGCATGTTAAGATTAGTGACAATTAACTGAAAGTCATTCACTAGGGCCCTGGAAAACTGAGAACCTACAAAACATATTCATCTTACTGTTGTGTTTGGAAAAATAAACAGACATTATATTGCTTAATTTAGACCAAACCATTTTCGGTCTCAAATGATTAAATTTACACTTGAGCTGAAAACAGGGAGATTTTTTTCTTGATTCAGGTCTACAAAAAGGGAAGTGCATCTTCAGTGTTTTGCTCATGATATACAAAACCTGAAACAGCTTTATTAAAAGGAGGTGTCCTATAAAGGCAGGGGCTGGAAATATATATCAAGAGATCCTGGAGGCCATTCCTGAGCATTTGAGCAAGATTCAAAGGAAGGAGAAATGGTAATTACATGCTTTCTTTATAGATAGCTCCAATTACAAGCCCTTCAGAGTTTTAGGGATCCTATAAGGACAATGTTCTGGAAACCTTTATAAGAAAACAGTACTGATACTGCCTTACTCTCTGAACCTCAGAGAGCTGACAGGAGAATTAAAGTGACAAATATTGTCCTAACTTTTTAATAAAAGCTAATAATTTTGAGTCCCCATGTGTTTATACCTTTAGATATACAACTTTTCATACAGGTGATCTTGTGGGTTGAAATACTTGTCAGCGTGCTTTGTGCACAATTAGTTCTAGGAGTACAGGGGAGGGAGAGTCTCTAAGGGAAAACAAAGTGACAGAGTACTTAAAAAGAAAAAACAACAACTGTGTGCTCTGAAGAAAGTAGGTCATCACTTTTTTTCTATGTGAGCAGAATTCCCATCACCATCCAGAGTAAAGTACTTTATATATTTTATACATTGGTGTGATTTCCCTCTTATCATACATGTATTATTCAGGAGCTGTGTGAAAGCAGACTGGCATAAAGCATTAGAGTGAAATGTGGCACACACACGCTTCTGCTATCTCTTAGACTTTGTTTCAAACATACACAGTGGTGTAGTCTCCTCATCCTCTGTGTATTGCCATACATGGAATACACACACCAAAACCCTGGGGAGCAGGACTTCAGAGATATACTAATTGTTTCCATATAAAGCAGGGCACAACTGCAATCTGAGAGGATATTCAGCTAAAAGCCTGCAAATATTTGGAAGCTTCCTGTCACACAGGGAAATGTTTGATTATAAGCAAAGACGGAGTTATGAAGTTTTGTAGGCAAGTAGCCAAGACTTCAAATGCTATTTCTGTTGATTTAGTCCTCTGAAGTTAGCTTGATATAATACTTTTTATTTCCCCTATTCATTGCCAATTCTGTGTACAACTCTGTTGGCACATTAAATATATAGTTAAAGCCCAGAGGTTTCAGAAACATAACAAAAGGAATCAGTTCCAGCAGCACTAGCTAAGAGCTATTGTGTAGGCTAGGCTCTCCCAGGATGACACTGAGAGGTTATGTCAGGTTTTAAGAGAATTAAAAGCTAGGTAACATCTACAGGGATTTCTCTGTGGCTTCCTTCAATCTGCCCCATTCCCAGGGAATGGAAAAAGCACTCTTTAACCAGGTTAAGTCCCTCAAGCTATGGAGGATATACTCAAAACCCCACAATTTGAAAGGACAGGAAAAGAAACATCCAAAGAGGTATACCAGTGACTCTTCAAAGAAAAGTTTCTGTCTATGTCCTTAGTATATTGGAAATTTTTCTGAGAGCTATTTAATTGCCATTGTGCATGAAGATTCCATAGGAGGTAGTTTGGCCACGACAACCCAACAGTTAGAAACCAGGCCAGTCAAGCCATGGAGAACTAACTAAGCACCTTTTGCCACTGAACCCTGCAAGCCAGGAACTTTGTATGATGACCTTTGCTATAAGGCTCGCAGGCTCTGATGATTTTAACTTAGGAGATGAACTTAGGTTTTAACTTAGCACTACTGTATTTCATGATAAAAACTAGCTCAAAAAGCTGCATGAAGTACACACAAAACCCCTCAGATATATAGGAGATGAAAAAATTGAGAATATAGATTGCTGATATTTCAAAATTTAGAAGTTCAAAAATCATCTTTCTTGGTCTATAAAACCTTCATGTTTGGCACTGCCCACGCAGACCCACACTTTTAGCATTGATTTTAGAAATACCCACATGAGCATGGGATTTTCCTAAGAGCTTCTCTGTGGGTTTAACAGCCAAAGCTCAAACTGAGGTTTAGTCTTGTACTCATAATGTTTCCAGCGTAGTCTCTTTTTTTTAACTTCTTGTTGCAGCCCTGATGTGAGAACATGAGACACAGACAATGAATCCTTTGCAAAAATTGGTCATGAAGTTACACTGGGCTTTCACTGATTTAAACCTGTGAGGCCACTCTGTGCTTTTCTCAAGTATAATGCTCTCTAAAGGGCATGCACAGGGCTGGTGTGATTCCATTTTTGCTGTCCTAAGGCAGAAAGCATTCATTTAGTTGAGAACCCACAATTTCACTTGTTTCTCTTGATTTTCCTGGAATGCATGACTCAGATCTGAACAATGTTCAGTCAAAAACAGTATTTTAACTCCCCCACATAAAACTTCATTTTTTGTGTGGCTTCCAGGCTGATAATAAATTCATTAGGTATTATTTGTCTCTAATACTAAGCAGATGAAAATACAGATAGGCATGAAAACAAAGGGGTAGGTATGCATTCCCAGATTTGCAAGTAATAACAGAGGTTTACACAAAATTCATGTGGCCAATGTTCTTCTGAATATTTAGTACTGGTAACTGTGTTTGTTATCAGTCAGGGCTCTTCATGTTAACCCCTGTGTTCCTTTGCCAGAGGAAAAGCATTCAGTTGAGACTGAATAGTTGCAGCAGCTGCATCTTTGGTGGCTAATCCATAGATGAACAGTCTCTTTCAGCAAGAAGCTGTGTACCAATCTCTGAGTAACTCTGTCGGTTGAGTGCTCTAGCACAGAGATGCACTAAAGCTTTCAAACAGAATGTGACCAGACTTGTCCAGGGAAATTGAAATGGGGAAATGACCTCTAACCTAGAGCTGATTTCTCATAAGTGGTCTTTTATAGGGATTATGAGCATTTCCCTTTTACTCCCTTGTGGATATAAATTGTTTCATAACATGAGAAACATCAATGTAGCCAAGGAAGCAAAATCATTCCTGTGCTGCTTCTTAATGCTGTCCCTTGAGCTTGGCCTGAGTGTAGTAGTGGTACAATGGCCTCATTCTTCCAGGCAGGCACTGCTGACCCAAGATGACTCCTTACCTGAGGGCTCCTTACCTGCTCTATCCGCCTGAGCAGCTCCTTCTTCTGGCGGTCCCATTCTCGCCGGTCTCTATCGAGCCTGTCCAAGAGCTCCACCTTTTCCCGGTTCCAGTTCTTCTCACTGTGCTGGATTTGCCAGCGGAGGTCCATCACCACGCTGTGACTGTCAGCCAGAAGCTTCTTGTGCTCCTCTCTTTCCCTTTTAAAAGCTCCCTTTGCATCTGAACCTGTTTCTCCGGAGGTGTTCTCACTCTTCCCTTCCAGCTGGCAATAAAGTCAAATGTTACTAGGATGTTCAACTTTCTGCAATAAAAACCTGTGCCTGACAATAGATTAAAGACCTAACTTTACAAAGGTAATGACAGAATAATAGCAATTATTACATCTTAGGACTCAATAAATGATCAAATATGTTCAGAATGGAAAAAGTTTTAAAATCAAGACAGTAAAAACTACAGGGAATAACTTCTCAAGCTCTTCATGCTCTTAAGGCACCAGTTATGATCTTTCTGATGGGAATATAGGTACCAGTAGTGAAGAAAACATGGAGGTAAACTCCAGCCTCATCATTATCTCCGAGGCAATTTTCAGGACAATGTCCTCAGCTACTGCTCTGCTGTTGTGCTCTCACTCGGTGCACCTGAAACCTAAGGAGAGTGAATTCATCTCCTGAAGAGGCCTATCCCACAACAACCCTCAGCAGTGGTGCTCTTGTATGACTCTCCTGCCTTCCAGCAAGAGAAGGTGTTAGCAGCAGCAGCAGGTGCACCAGGATCATCACCCCCATCTCTGAGGTTCTGGACCCTGAACTGATTTTAAGGGCAATTGTCTGATGCCACCTTCCCTCCCTTCTTCAATTTCATGATCAGGGATTAGCTTAAACAGATCAGAAGAGCTGGCCCAAGGTAATAGATTCATAGGAAAATATAAGCTTCATGGGGTGTCAGGAAGTCTCTAGTTGAACCCTCTCCTTCCAGCATGGTACACTCTGAGGTCAGAATGGGTTATACAGGACTTTGTTCAGATGGATCCTGAAAAAACTCCAAGTGCAGAGATTGTACAACCTCTTTGGTCAAGCTGGGCCAGTGCTGGACTGTTATCAGAGGGAAAAAGTGCTCAATTGTTTTGTGTAAGTTCAAGTGAGTGAAGAATTTATCCTTGGAATCTGATCTTCTGTTGACAGCTCAGTAGATGTGTGTGTGACTCAGAATGGGATACATCTCCATCCCCTAGCTCTGCAGGTGAAATGGAGTGAAAAGCAGCAAAAACTCATTTCCACCTCTGGAGTTACCATTGTCCTCAAAAATGAGAGGCAGCAGGTCTGCTGGGAAGCTTATTCCTCTAGCAGGAGAGAAGGACAACACCTTCACCCTGCCCTACGTGGAAAATAAACCCAAAGTTTCTGAGAAAAAAAATTTCAGACTGGATTCAGGAGTGATGCTTACTAGTTTCTGGAACAGCCTCCCCAAACAATTGACTGAGAGATTATTGCTCGAGTTACTTAAATTGTACTGAGCTGCAGGGAACATCCTGTTACACCCACTTGCAGTGACAGGGAAATCTTAACAAGGCATCTTCTACCACTGATTCTCAGAGTCCAGTTGTTTTCTTTCAAATGACCAAACAGGCAAACAAAAAAAAAATCAATTTTGAAAGAGCAGCATCCTATTTTAACAAAGTTGACATGACATCATCTTTCTCACACCTGTGTACCACATGATATGAAACATGATATAATATGATATATGATATTGATATGGTATGATTTGATATGAGATGTGATATGATATGATACATTATATTCCCCCCAGACATCCTGAAGCTGGACCATTGGTCAGAGTCCTAGTGAAGGACTCCCATATCCTTAATGGGTCCCATGTCCTCAATGCAAATTCTCAAAGCATACTCAGGGTTTGGCCCCTAACACTAACTCCCTAACAAGTAACACCCATTACCCAATAATTACCAAATGTTGGATATTATTTCCAGCATAGCAGTGGAGGTAGCAAAGAGCCTGGTAAAAGCCCCAGAAGGAAGGGTGGAAACCCCTGAGCAGGAGTGGCAGCACCATCCCGGTGCCAAACACCAGCCAAAGTGGCAGCCTGGAGATTTATTGCCCATGCAAAGGCAAAGGAAAGCTTGGCAGTTCTGTGGCCAGAATTTCTCCAAGTTTCCTTCTTTGTTGCCATCTTGAGCTTAAGGTAAATCTGTCACCAAGATATTTCAGAAGGAGTCAAAACAGGAACTGATTTTGTTTCCTTTTTCAAGTGATATATTGTTCAGAAATGCTGGTAACTGAGAAGCAGTAGAATTAAGAATTTCAGTCTTCTGGGAGAAGACTCTGCTAAAAATGAAAGCTGCCTCCTTCATTCTGAGAAAGCAGCCCACAGTACCTGGGCAGGAAAAGCAGTGCTCACATCTCAGCTCTGTGTGTCACAGTGAGCCTCTAAAATTTAGTAAATCCTTCTAAATGTACCATCCTTCAACAGTGAATATTTTTATTATATGTTACTTCTGCAAAGAAGCTGTATGATTTTTCTCAAGATCTGAATGTACTAATTCTCCCACCCCTTCCCTCCTCAATGTGTAAAATAAGAGCTTTTATGTCATCAGCTTTGGAAATCAATTCTTGTGGGTTTTTTGAAGATTTGTTTTCTGTGAACTGCCATACACATGACACTGAAACACCTGGAACCAGCTTTTATACAAATACTTCTAACAGTATCCCATGGCAGATAATGAGATCGTTCTCTTCCATCACTAACCAGTAGCTTTGAATGGCTGGTTTAATATCAATATATTGATCTATCACTTCAGTGTTGTTGAATCACTCTTTTCTCTGCTATAAATCAAATAATGCAGTTGTTACACACCAAGGCACAGTGATGAGCTAATTGTGAGCATGCCAACCACAAGACATTTTTCTCTCCAATAAATACAGACACCCACATGTCTCATTACCACAGCTGATACATCACCACCCAACTCTGCTGAGAAAATACAGCAAGAGGTTCAGTTCCTTTGTTCTCACCCACATCACGCAGTGCTCACTGCATGGGCCCTTGTACTGGGACACCTGGAAATCCAAGAGGCAACTCAAATAGCAAAGCTTTGATCAGGCTTCAGGTGAGGGCTTTCAGACACCAGGATAAAATGCATGACTAAAGTCCCTTTTCAGTTTGTTGTAAATTGTTGCCATGATATTTTCTGAAAAATCTCTTTGCCAGGATTTTTTTCTTGAGAAGCTGAGAAGCCTCAGAGGAAAAGAAAAACATTAATTATCTGCTGCTGTGGAATGCAACAGGTGCATCTTTGATTGGTCTGTGTTGGTTGTTTTTAATTAATGGCCAATCACAGTCCAGCTGTCTCAGACTCTCTGGTCAGTCACAAGATTTTATTATCATTCTATTCCTTTCCTTGCTAGCCTTCTGATGAAATCTTTTCTTCTATTCTTTTAGTATAGTTTTAATATATCATTTTCTTTTAATATAATATATATCATAAAATAATGAATCAGCCTTCTGAAACATGGAGTCAAGATTCTCATCTCTTCCCTCGTCCTGGGACCCCTGCGAACACCACCACATTTGGTGAGCCCCGAGTGAGGAACATTGACACAGTAAATTTCCTGTTCCATTAAGCACCTCAGCTGTCCTTTCCAGGTGCTGGACTCAGGGCATGTTACCTGTTGGAGGCGACACTTGAGTTCAGTGGTTTCCACCTCCCAGGCTGCCTTGTGCAGGGCGTACTGCTGCTGGAGCCCCTGGCGCTCCCGCTCCTCGTCCCGCAGCTCCGAGCGGAAGTCATCCAGCAAACCCTTCAGAGCGTTCAGGAGCTTCCGGTTTTCACTCGCCTGGCACAACAAAGCAGACAAAATGCTGTCATTGGATGCTGGCTTTAATCCCCACTTCCATTTTTTTTAGGATGAAAAATGACTGTGTGTCTACTGCATGGAAGAGAAAGTGCCTGGGCTAACTTTTGCATGAGAAAACTAAGAATAGCGATGTCTTCTCTGTCAACAGGCTGCTCAGGAAGTGGTTGAGTCACCATCCCTGGAGGTATTTAAAAGATGTGTGGATGTGACATTTTGGGATGTGGTTTAGTGGTGAAATTGGCAGCGTCAAGTTTATGGCTGGACTTGATGATCTTAAAGGTCTTTTCCAAACTAAATGATTCTGTGATTCTCTTCTCGTTAGGCCTAGTGCTGATGCTTCCTGAAAGCCAAAGGTACTTAAGTTACTCTGAAAAAGGCACTAAGCATCTTTCTGGACTGAGGACATCATTAATAACTTTTTTTAATACTGTAAACCAAAGCTAGAGTATCATTCCTGAGGTTTGTTGGATAGTTACATGTCTGTCTCACACATACAGTTGTTGCTCTGTATCAAATACCAAATATTTGTAAACTACATAAAAAGAAAGGGGATAACTTTTCAATGCTTTTGTATTATCAGATAAAATTGTTTTGGGGGATACAGTGAGGCTTTGAGCTGAGTATCTCTGCTAAGGTGTCTCAGTAGTCTGTACTTCATATTCCTGCTCCACACCAGGCAGTTGCACCCAGGTTAGCTTTGCAGCAGCACCTTCTGGGTGCCAAAGGCTGGAAGGCCAGGGAGGCCCCTTCCCTCTTGCAGAGGGGATCAAAGAGCAAACCCCCATTCATGTCTTGTTGAGAGTGTCATGGCCATGCTGAAAATGTTGTCAGAGCTCCTGTGGTAGCCAGAAGCCAAGAGTGGAGCTAAGTTGAAAGTCTAGCCCAGAGCTGACATCACATATTCTTACTCAAATCTTATTTCTTTTTCCTTAGTTTTGGCATTTACCTTCTGCGCATTCTCTGGGCACTTGCAAAATCTGCCATTTTAAAGTTAAATATCAAAACAAAATTTCTAAATATTCATTCTGGATTAGTAAAAGAAAAGGTTTCCCACAATTTTTTTTTCTTTCAGTCATTGAATCAGAAATATATGATTATTTGTCCAAAATTTAAATCAAATATTCCCAATGAGTGTCTCAAACGCCAGGGAGTAACCACAGATTATATCTGACAAGTTATCCTGACTAGAAAATACTTTTATGAAAATTATACTTGACTAGCAGACACAGCAAGGGGCAGAAAAATTGGAAAGCTTACTCAAAAAATTCAGCATTTAATGACCTGGTTCTCAGGAATATGTTAACTCCATTGGGAAGGCCTAACTCAAATTAGTTGTCTCCATCCTTGCAAGATAGTGTAATCAAATTTTTTTAAAATTTGTATTCCAAAGTGAAGGCTTCCTGCATTCCCTCTTATCTGGTATTTCATGAAGTAACTACATGGAGGCTTCTTTGAAGACAGGTCAAGTAAACAGAAGTATGCAAAAATCTATATAATTGTCATGTGCTTTTTCAATGGCAATACTTACAAAATTTTATGCAGACAACTAAGCTGACTTCATTTGCTCATCAGATTTTTGGCATCACTGAACCCAACTCCTCCATTTTTGTATTCACTAATTATACATGCCAAGGTGCCTTTTTTCTTTAAAAAACAAACAAACGTGGTCTACTTTTTCCAAGTCATTTGATGCATTAGCAAAAATATACTAGATGTAGGGAAATGACTGGAGGTGCTCATTGACTGACCTATCTGGTTGGCCTAATGAAAAGTGATGGTGTACAAGATGGGGTTTTGCAAGAAACGCACCCACAGAAGCAGAATTAATTCCATTAACATTTAATGCCAATTAGCAGTTTCCTGCTATCCAGCAGCAGTCTCCATCATGCATATAAGATCACCTACTATTCAATATGCAATGAGATTTCATGTTTCCACTATGCATTTTTATTCTACCACCTAATTAAGGCTAAATTCTCCAAACATTTCAAGCCCCTTGTGTAATAATCAGAATAAGAAGTCCTTTGAAGTTTTGCCCTTAATGTCACAACAGGAACTGCTGGGTATTGGAGGCATCAAAATCGGGTCTCATCCTCTTTGGAAACCCTGACTCCAAATGTCTGGGAAGTGCTTTCATTCAAGTGCCAAATTCTGTGTTTTCTGGTCTGCTGTACAAACCTTTCTCTGGCAAAGCAGTCAAAAAGCTCCACAAGAGAAGTGAGGCAGAAGAAAAGCAAAACCAAATGACAGCAGAGCAAGTTACAACTCTTATTCCTGTGCGTACATTTGATAATTTTAAAGTCCTATAAAATTTGGTTTGCAAAGAAAGAAGATATGGACTAGTACACAAAGGAGACAAAAGAGCCTCATTGCAGGTTTGTAGCCTACTGTGTTGAGGGCATTTCTTATTTCTAGGGACATTACATCAATGTCACTGTGATGAGATAAGTACCTCAGGTGCCCCATGGCTTGCTGGGATTGTAATTACCTTGCCAATATAAATCCAGTTTTGGTTATATACTTTGTACTCCTGCAGAGAAGTCTCTTCTGCATGACTCTGTATTTATAGTCTGAAGCTGGAGAAGTCTGTGATTTTTTTTTTCTCTTTTGCCAAACTGGAGTGGTTTTGGAGAACAGAGAAAGTACTTTTGAAAGAATGTGCTCTGAAATACATTTACATCTAGCCATGCTTTAGATTTTGTTGGCAAAACAGCTTATACATAAGACTAAGTCCTGTAAATATCAACAAGTATTGTTATAGTCTTCCCCTTCCTTTCATGTTGCACAGGAGAAATTTGGCATGGCTGTCATTCTCTGGAGAGTCCTCCATGCAAGGAGATGGCTCTTTTGCACCTTAGCTGTTCCTAAAATTTAAAGCTTAGAGGAATCTCACTGATTCACAACTGAACTAGGACAAGATCATTACAAAGGCTAAAACAAGATAATTAAAAAGGCTTTACAAAAGTTTAAAGGCTTGTATCCATACCTCTGGACTTATAGAAAAAACAGCTGGCAACAAACAAAACCTTTATGTAGCAAACTCCAGTTAAATTCCAGAACACTGGAGCATTTACGAAGTTAAGTCAACCACAGAAACAGGAGCATCCAGCTCTAGAAAAGTTTTGGACAAGAGCAGTTTGCAGTTTGGTTCTGCTTTCAATCACAATTCATTTTTCTCTGAGAATTTCCCTTGAGAATTTCACTGAAGACTTCAGCCACAGGCTGGTATTACAAGCAGTTTAGTAGAGCAGTCAATTAAAAACACAAGGTTAGGAGCCTAAACAGCAAACCAGAACCCTGTATTTCTTCTGTCTAATCACAGATCTAGGCAAAAGATAAGCTGGTTCTTGGTGCAACCCATTTTGGAATATTCAGGGCTCAATGACTGTTCCTTTGGGCTTTTCTCTTAGCTAAGCTTTGAAAACAAACATTATACGAAAGAAAAGAGATTAATTGGGGATTTTCTTGATACGCCTCCCAGCAACAACACTACTGTTGTTTTTTCTTGCTTTTTCCACTGGACCACAGATAAACTCTCTGCTCCTTATTCCCTTATCTTACACCATCTAACAGGCATCTCACCCTTCATACTCAACTGAAACAAAGCTCTTCCTTTATGCACAGGCTGTTCTCCTCTGCTGTGCCACCAGTCCAACTTGCTTGATTATCTCCTAAATACAAACAAACTTCCAGCCTGGCTCTTAACCTTGCCTGACACTTCCTGCCGTGTCCCCCAGCTACCAGCCAAGGGACAATGTCATACAGGAAAAGATGAACTGACCCCTCTCAGATTTACTCTGCTTCTTATCAGCATTACTTTTTTCTCCCCTTTCTGCTCTGCCTTGCACACTGTCCAAATAAAAATCCCAGACAAGCCAGACTGGTGTATTTTTCAGCCAGCTGAGTATCTCAAATCATAGCAATATAAAATTAAAAGTTAGATGTTGAAGTTATGGCCTTTGGGTTTATATTTTTTCTCAAAACAATTCCACTTTCCAGGCAGGGTAAGAAAGTCAGCAGCAAGAGTGCAGTCTGAAAACACAAGCCATTAAATATTAACATTAAATGTTAAAAATAAATACGGGTAACCTCAGGTTTCCATAAGCCCTTTCTTTTTTCTGACCCAGTTATCTCACCCACTCCTAGACTAACTAAAAGTTTCATTCCTGATGTGAAGTATGTGCTGATGCATTTCATCTTGGGGCTTGTCAGGCAGATCCAGCAACTTTGGGTTCTTCTGGGCAGGTGCAAACCTTGGAGACTTCCAGCTGCACCAATCATTCAAAATTCCCTCTATAAACAGTGTTTTTTCCAGTTATGGGCTTAAGGAACCTGCAGAAAACCCCTCAAAACTTAGTGTGTTTTTCAGCACAGCAGTGCTTGTGAGAAGACGCCCTAGTGTGTGCAAGCAGATCAAATAATAGTGCTTAAAATGAGAAATATTTAGCAAATTTATTCATTCTTGCAGTGTTGAAATAACACTTTTTTTTCTGGTTGGGGAGCAAGGAATCTGTTTTATCCTGACAAGTTCATTTGGATATCATGCACTATTTATCAACATGGGGAGTACCAAGATGTGGTCAGTTCCTCTGGATCAATCCTTCAAGCAAGATTAGCTGGAACTGCTGTGATGTATATAAAAATGAATTATAATCAATTTACTGCCCATTTCTGCCACCTTAACTGAGATTAATGTCTAAGCAATGATTATTTCAAAGAGTACATAATTCATTTGAATGTTCTTGGTTATTTTAAGAGCTCTATATGGAAAGTTAGTACATGATGGAGTTTGTAAAGAAACAGCATTTTGGTATATATTTATTTTACTAATTCCAGAATAAATCAGTCTACAGATGGAATGCAGTCAGATGATGTGTTCAAGAGCATCTCTTGCATGGCCTTCTACAGCCTTTTACCACAAAAGAGCTTGCTGAGAGGAAGACAGTGATGGGTCTGGGTGACCAGCAAGGTAGAACCTTTCCAAATGCCAAACTAACCAAATGAATACTAACTTGGTAGCACACTTCACAGAAAATAATAGTTAGAGAATATCCTTTTTATAGGATAGAGACTTTCTGTTGCCTGCTGCAACACATAGGCAGTTAAAAAACAGGTTGTCCATAATCATGAGGGTCTGGGGAATTCAAGGTGAAGAGCTCAGATGCAAAGAGACACAATCCCCAGGCCTGCAGTGACTCCAGCTAAGTATTGTGATCATAGGGAGCATATGTTTGCCTGAGAGCTGTCACTGTGGAGCACGCTCCCAAGTCAAAGGCTTGGAAAAAGAAGGGACATCAGAAGACTGAAGATTTTTTTCCCCCTGAATTTGTTTTTCACACAGAATTCTTGCTCCATTCTACTTATGATTGCAAATAAATCCATGTAACAGGATGGTCTCATACAAATGGTTTTCATTTTAAAAATATAATAAATCTGTCTTCTTTTTCTATTTGTATTGTTATGAATCAATTAGGATAGTTAGTATATTAAATGTACAAAGGAAAAAGCTAGGATATATGGCAGTGCTCTGACACACAGTCAGGGTACAGGAGATGCCAGGGAAAAGTTAATATGATTTGATTTCAAGCTTTTAAAAACAAGCCCAGTGACAGGAAGGAACTCTTACATTGTTTTCCCATCATCTCCAAGGGAAACATTAAATACATGTGCTAGTTTCTTAAATTATTTAAAGGAAACAAAATCACATGTTCTTGCTAAAAGCTTGACAGTAGAGTACAATAGATGTGCTCAGACAAGAGGAGCCTGTAAATTCTGCAAACCATCACATACTGATAAATGTTTCTGGGCAAGCAGCCACAAGAGGAAATAGGATTTTTCACTGATAGCATCTGTCAACAGAAGAACAGTAATCACGTGGCTCATGATTAAATTTAAATATAAATATAATGGATGAAATCTACTGTAATTGCTGTGTAGCTAGAAGTATTTACACAAGTATGATTCTAGGTGATTTAACACAGCAGCACAGAACTCTTGGAAAATCCACAGTTTCCATTCCCAGGGCAAGATATATAAATGGTGTAGTACCTGCTTCTGCTGCTGCAGTAACTCTGCAGTCTGCAGCTGTGGTCCATGATCAGTGCTCTCTGTGGTGGGATGCTGGGAGAAATCTGCCAGTGCAAACACAACATCCTCTTCCTCCTCCTCTCGCTCTGCATCATTTGCCTTCTGCTCAGGCTGAATGCTGAAGTCTGGGAGGGCCTCAGGGTGCTCGATCTGGAATGCAAGAACACAGGAATGCAAGAACACAGGAATGCAGGAACATAGGAACACGCTTCTGCCATTTACCTCTGGGGCCAGAAATCTCCTGAAGGACTAAGGGAAGGGACTGCATCTCTGTGGTGGCATATATTGACCCCAACTCAGGCCACAGAACTGATCTTTGGGTGACACATCACCTACTGAGTTTGTGAACACACCACTATGCAGGCCTGCAACACAAGGGATTTATGCAGCTGGGATGGGTCTAATGTCACATGATGGATATAATCCATCACACATTAATCAAGAACTATAGAAGACACTGGTGTATGGTGTGATGAAGTAATGGAGATTAGGAAGTATCCAAATCTCTAATTTTAATTTCTGCAAAGCGTAAGCAAAACAGGGCTCCAATAAAACTGGGCTGGTAATAAATTAACCAGATAAAAATGGTTAAAAAATCCAAACAGTCAATAAATGTAAGCTTTTAGGTATTAGAAGATGAGCTAATTTACACAGAAGCAAATTAACATAGCTGAAGTAAAGTAGAAGCAAATTATTTCTAAATAACAACTCATCTATTGTTTCTGACTCATATTACCACAGCAGATGAATCTAAAGATGTTCATCAACCCTTTATCAAAGAATACAAAACAGTGGAATATTCAGTTTAAGCACACTCCGACCAGACCTGAAAGGTTACTTGTACTGCCATGCAGCAAACCTTGAAAAACACTACATATAAAAGGACCAGAAATATTGAGAATAATTACTTTGTTGCTTACCAAATGGCTTCAGAATTGCATGAACCTGCAAAACAAATCTATTGTTCTCAAGAATTTGGTGAAAAATGTCAGAATGGGAAAACATTTTTTTTTTTTTCTTTAGCTAAGAAGCAAATGGTAATCCTGGGTGTGCAACTCAACACTTCCTTCACAGTGCATGTTGGCTGGCAACCACACCCCTGCTGAGATGTGTCAGCTTGGGGATTCCAGGTTGTTATGTACTTCCGAAATTCCTGATCTTGATTTAGCCTCTACTTAGAAAAGCACCATGATGACGACTGAAGTACTGCTGCTGACGGCGACAGACGTGTGATGGAGAAGGGGAACAAATAAGCATGATTCACTGTAAGTTCCCACATGAAGCTGTATAGTTCTCCTGCCAACACAGAAACAGAGCTTCCCTCCATCTGTATTGCTGAAGGCTTTGTAAAGAACACACTGTGCACAGGATGAGAAAAACAACAGCCCTCAATCCATCTAAACAGATTGGACTCCCTCACCTTGCTAATGTGGTTTTTTTCTTTCAAAAAATTACTCAGGAGTCATATCTTTGAGACCTAATTAATTTTTCATTTACTCTGTGAGAGTATTTTAGGACCAGCTGTTTGTACTAGTTAAGGGTTTTGCTTTAAAGATGGGTGATCTGTAACATATCATGCAGAATATAGTTCAGCACAAGCCAACACCAGCTTTCATGTTTAATTTGAATCCCCTTTCAACATATGTGCAATTTGAAAGCTGCTGGTGCCATACCATATTTCAAGTCTACACTTGAAGAAGGGACATCCCAGTACTCTTTTGGGTTATTAAGGTGTTATTAAGTTACCTCTAACGTGTCCTCCCCTTCCTCCTCCATTCGCTTGCCTTGCCGCCAGTGTTTCAGCAGCCACTTCAGTTTGACATACAGGAGAAAGGTGTCCTGCTTGAAATGCCTGAGTTCCTGCTGCAGCAGATTTTTCTCCTGACTCCAGGTCTTCTCCTCCAGTTTGTTCTGCAAAGTCAAGCTCTGCACTTCCAAGTCTTTTCTCCGCAGGGTCTGCAGATGCTCCTCCTCCAGCTTTAATGGAATAACAGGCAACATGTCAACAGAGTGGTGTCCTGGGGCAGTCTCCAGGAGTTGTTCTTCACTGGGTGAGACAAACTGAAATCTCTAATTTTCACCAGTAGTGAGCAGCTATTGAGTTTGGCTCAATAAGTTCTTCAGCAGTTATGACTGCTGAGGAAATTAGAGGATAGCAGATGATAAGCTTTTCTTAGATAACCATATGAAAGTAACCTGCTGTGGAAGTGGATATGTACTTCAAAGATGCACAGGAGTTCTGAAGCTGGTTAAACATTTTACACCACTCATATTTTCCTCCCTCTCTTGATTGTATCTCTGCAGTAGGTTCCCAGCAGAGGCACCAGCCCATGCTGCTGCACATATCACACCTATTAAATGCATTTGCAGACATTTGTACAAGGTGGGACCACAGCTGCCCTTCCCTGTAGACAACCTGGAATATTTGCCTTGCAACTTCCCCCCACAGGCACAGGTTCAATCTGTCCACAGTTGGTACATTTCCCTCTGCCTCTGGAAGGGCAACACTTCTGAAGAAAACACCTCCAGTACCTCAGATACCACTACTGGTCCCTCACTTCTTGCAGTTCATACTTGGAGGCATCTGAATGATACCACAGCAAATAGTCCCTCATTCTGTCATGACTTTATCTGGGACACAAGCAGGAACTGAAGGCACAGGAACAGATTGCTACCCAGCATTTGACATGTCTCAGCCTTAGTACCAAAATCACCAAGAAAAGCTCATTTTTTAGAGGACATGTATAACTACACCTGCTTCAATGCAAGGCCACCTGAAACATCATTCTTTAAATGTGACCTTCCCTCAATATATTAAAAATCAAACCATGGCATGACCTGCATCCAACAGAACTTGTACAAGTTAGTTGCACAATATCTCATATTGTGCGTAGATGAGAAAGTGTTTCCACTTCAACCAAGCTGTGGCTTCTTCATAGATGAAGAAAATGCAGATGGAAAATGAGTACAGAGTCACTGTTTACAGGCGCCAGTCTCTATTTTCCATTCTGCAGCTCCTTCAGCTCCTTTTCCTGACCAGCTCCATAGATAAAATCTATGAAAGCCACAGTACACTTATGACCACAACAATCCAAACCACTGGAACACGCCCTGCAACAAACAATGCTCATACAAGAATAAAAAATATTTCAGGGATTAGGACTCCCTAGCAATAAATACTGCTGAGAAATACATGTTTGATTTTCATGGCAACATTGAGATGCTTCTGAAATAGGCTACCAGTCCATTTGAGATAGTTTCCTAAGGACTTGCCTGCCTTCTAAATGATGTGCTCCAGCATAATGCAAGTTTTTAGCATCTATGCTACTATGCCTTAAAAAGTTCCTGATTAAATTGAAATTATTTACAGTTGTGACTAGCTTAAATGTATACCTTAAAATGAAGTTTAAAAGCAGTCTGGAACAAAATTAGCCATAATGGCCCAAAAAAACTTACACACAACTCCTAATAACACTCATGGAGATTATACACTGCTAGCACACATCAATTTGATGACATTAAACATTCTTAAAAATGAAAAAGTAAAAGAAGAGCTGATTTTAAATTTAGTTTTTACAGAAAGAAAGATGTAGATTTGATGTTGATGATCATTCTTTCACCAAATAAAGTTATGGTTAAATACAGCAAAAATCTAAATTCCACCAGAAATCCTGGAAAGTGATAAAAAAGGAACGCTATCAACAGAACGGGCATAATTTGGAAAAAAAATGAAGAATCCAGAAGATGCTTTTATTTTTCTATTTCTGCTGGCAATCAATATGAACAGCTAACTTTGATTTTGGTGCATTTTTCATCATTTTGACAAGCTGTTATATTTCAAATCCCTATGGTCATGAATTCTTGCAGAAGACCCTAGTGGAGGTAGATTCATAGAGTGCTATGCTTTTTCAATGGATAGCAATTGCAAAAGAAAAGAACTTTTAGAGACAGGCATAGCTTCCAAAAAGCTTTCACAGCTGAGGCAACTAGAAAGGAAATCAATTGACTGGTTGCCTTCAAAAGCTCCAGTGGAAAGCTCCTGTGGAGATCAACTGGAAATTAAAGCTAGTTATGAAAAAACAGAGAGATACCACTTGGGCATAAAGAGATTAGTTGGCACAAGGAAAAATTCTTTACAGTATGCAACAATTATGCTGAATTTAGTCCATGAAGTAAATTTAAGAGGAAAACTTGAGTTAAGAGCCAAACAGCCTGCAGAAATTAGCAGCAGATTTTTTTCGCCCTAGGAGTTAGAGATCAGAAAATGATTGACTAATCTGTTCCAGCCTTCAAAAGAGCAGGGAGAGCTCATGTAAAAAAATATGATTTATTCACCAGCTATCAATAAGAAGATTGGAAGCACTGAGTACTGAGAAATACAAGAATGAATGTCCTGATTTGTTTCTCAGCTATGTGCGCATAGCAACTCCTCTGACTTCAGAAAAGTGCTGGATTTTCTATCAGCCAGGAGGAGTCAGGATAAGGTATGGAGCCAAACTGAGCTCCCAGAGATCAACTCATGCTTGCCCAGCTCACAGAGAGCTGAAGGGTGACAGAACTCTCCATGCAGTATTCCATGTCCCTACCATGATTTCCTGTGCATAGGGGAGGACAAAAATTCTCTCCACCAAGCAGAGAAGCCAGATTCACAGAGGCAAAATGGGCTTGAGTTTAGATTTCCCCCGATTCCAGATTCTTCATTTACTCAGAGGAGGTCACACAGGCACAGCCATCAGGACACAAGTTCCCACAGTCCTGACAAACAAGGCTCACGTCACACATCATGGTCATGCGGCTCTCCCAGCAGGTGGGGTTTGTATTTACCTGGATGATCCTTTCTGAAAACTTTTCTTGCTCCTCTCGGTGAAGTCTTGTCTCCTGCTCAAGCTGAGCCTGAAGCTCCTGTATCGATACATTCTGTACAGGTAAAACATGGGAATCCCTGAGCTGATCAGCAGGACAAAGGGAAAGGTTTAGCAGAAAATGTATCTCGGGGGTTTAAGAAAAGAAAATGAAAAAGAAAAGAGCCACGGGACAGACATCTGCACAACTCAAGATTATCAATAGTTAAAACCAAAGCACAGTGTGCAAATAAATAACGATGTCCTAAATCTGTGTGGGAATTTCCTGTGTGGCTTCTTCTGGAAACTAAAGCTGGAATGCTGATGTTACATATTGGATATTCTCTTCAGGCCTCTGCTCTGAGTTTGCACTTGAATAGCTGAGACTCCTGTTTGCAGAATTATGTATTTGGTGGTGCATTTCTTCATCATAATCAAAGCTGTAAAATTTTAAGACCTCTGCACAAGATGAATCCAATGCACGCATATTGAACCTAATTATTTATTCATTTGCAACAGTTTTGATAGGGCAGTTAATGGGATAGCATTTATTAAACCAAGTATACATAAGATCCCTTTCTTTGGATACAAGACAGTTCTCTGCACAAGTCAAATTCATTCTGTGATTTCTACTCAAAATAATTACAACAAAAATGTCACAGTGATAAGCTGTGTGAGCCTGAGATCTGACCAAAATAATTAAGTATCCCCACTTTAAGGTCCAATACTGTTTTAATCTTAATATCTTCAATTTTATGTTCTCATTAAGTTTGGCATCCCATCAACTTTAGTCCTGAAAGTTACTTAACTCAAAAATAAAGACCCAAGAAGGCAGAGTCAGATCTCATTATTTATACTACAGTAATTAATCTTGTGGCACTTATATTTCTGATCAGAACTTTCTGTGCCCTTCACTTTGTGTCTCTCACATTGGTGCCAAAACTGATTTATTTGTACAAAAGTGATGCTCGGCTGGATGCCTTCCTCTTCACGTGTGTGACCACCGAAAGCACTACAGCACCAAACTCCCACTTCCCAGAGCAAAAATGTACTTAATGACAGGGTTGCTTCAGGCTTCAAAGGTGCAATCCCAAGTTCTCAGCTGGCCCACGTCCTGCGTGCTCCAGCCTCAGCAGCTGCAAGGATGTAACAAAGGTCATGGGACTGCTCTCCTGGGCTGTGTTGCCATTTCCCCAGCCCCTGCATCCACCTCCTCGCCACTCCTCCCACCTCCCAGAGCAAAGCCAGCAGCTGCTGCTGTTCAGGCCACACAGCCCTTGCTGGAACATTTTGATTATTCAAAATGTAGTTCTCCCTGGAACAGACTCTCCTCACCCATCCGCTAGGGAAAAATGAGATAAGGCAAATGGAAGTATCCCAAAAACTACCTGCAGGACCACACTCTGCTGAAAACCAAAGTGGACCTACACAGACTTTCTGGGCCCCATCAGTTCCTTCTTTACTTGAGTCATTTATTGACTTGTGCATGTCTGTTTTGTACCTGAGGAAAAGACACTTCCATCCTTCTGAAAGGTACACATAAAGTGACTAAGAGAACATTACCTGCCTTATCAATTTCATCTGTCTCTATAATGTGTCTGCAGACATTTTGTAGTGCATCAGGTCAAAATCGGGATTTGAAAAGAACTGCTTGTGATGGGATTTGTCAGTTTTGCCCAATCATTTGTAAATTCTTTATTTAATTCTCTCATGCAATATAGCAAAAATTACTTTCATCAGGAATTTCTGCATTATTTTATTCTGATCAGGCTTCCTTAGGAATATGCCAAACAAAAACCAATGTATCAGTTCATTAATGTATAATTAAAAACAAAAATCTGTTCCTTCCCTTTATTAATTCAAAATTATTAACCCATCCAATTTTTTTACAAATATGTAGCCCATGAAAAGCCAAATTTCAGGAAACTTCAGTGCTAGGATTATGTGGGAACTGTTGGAATTACTGAAAAGAAGTTAAATATATCATGAAGGCAGATGCAGTATTACATGCATGCTAAGGCAAAAGTCACATCACAACTGCTTTGCCTCTTTAAGGACAATACATTTTTGTAAGTCCTAAAGTAAATTTAAGTTGGAAAGCAGCTAGGGAATGAATGCAGAGCTGCACACTTTTCCCCTTCCAATGCAACCTGAGAACTCTTCATAGTCTATAATAATTTATAATGGCATTTCTACCAGATGTGTTGGGATAGCTCCACTGCTCAAATCATGGGAGGTAAGGCTGTTTAAGTGCCTAATAGATTGCTGCTAAACAATCTATTAGGATCATGAATGAATAATACTTATAAATGTATCATGTAATATTTGTGTATGCAGTTCAGGTACCTGATACTGCTCTGATGGATGCCTGGATGATTAAATGTGGAAATCAGTCCCTTATCATACAACCAGCAGGCTGTAGTCTGTGGCACAACTGTGGTTTTGTTTTGTAAGGGAACATTACTACAAAATGGACACAACAGTTGATAACCTGTTATATTCCATTGTTTGCTTCCTTTGTTCTCATGAAGGAGTGTGCTGCACGAGGAACAGGAGACACCCCGAACACCACGGCCACTGCACAATGTGCTGACACCACAGAACAGACACACACTCACTACAAGAAGACATACAAACACAATACCATGGGAACTACAAGCTAGTGCTACTCTACCACAGCACCACGGAAACAGCTGCACTTCATCCACAGCTCAACACCGACTAACAGCTTCCCATGTATCCCAGTTATTGCATTACCATACACACTGCCACTCCTGTCCCCTCAGACAGGCACTGCCAAATCCTTCTGCTCAGACATTTTATCTCACCTGTTATCACTCCAGAACAAGCTAATCCATGCTGATGTCTTTACCTCAAGAGGATGCATCAAGAAAAGTCATCCTGGGGACTTCACCACCGCTCCCTCACTGTACCGACCCCTTTCCCCACCTTTTAGAGTGTTGACAGCTTTTTAGGTTACTTTGCAGCTCACACAATTCCACATATCTGCCATGACTTGTTTTTACGAGATTGCCATCCAAGACAAGGTATGGCTGGATTTTATTTGTCTGCTTTCTCCATTTTACCGTGGCTAATTGCAACCTCAATTCGCCTGCAAACGTAATCAATTTATATGCAACAACCGTGAACATGAAATTTCATGGAATCTTTCTCTTAAGCTTTTTTTTTTTTCCCCCCAGAAATGATCAAACAAAATAAGGCCTGAGGAGGCAGGGTAGAATGATGCTCTCCAGCATTTGCGTGCAATTTGAAGCAAGTTAGAAGATGAATATTTTATGCTGCTCCTCTAAAGCTACATTATAATGCTTTGATATTTGGACCTTACATTTGAACACATAGTTTAAAAATTGCTACTTTTTCACAGATTGACGGCTGGCCATTGCATTTGTCAGAAAGAAGGTTCCGGTGCCTTTTGTTACACCTTTTACATGCAATTCACATCTAACTGAATTGGCAGAGGCTGCTTCTGAAGATGTATACTTCTTCTCACCCCTTAAAAATAGACGACATATATTTCATTTGCTAGTGTAGAATAGGCAGCTGCGTGGTTGTTTGTCTGTGCTTATATGAAAAGCCTCTGAGTTTGGGAAAACACAGAACACTTCACTCCAAGTCTTTAAAAATCCATCTCATTGTATGGATAGTACATAAAGTCTCACCAAGTTCAGTTAGGACTCAAATATCCAGATTTACATCATAAAGGGTCTTTGAAGCCATTACACTGTCAACCTCTACAGAATCTTACATAGCAAGAAAGAATACAATACATCAAAGTAAATTATTCTTGCATCCCCTAATCTTGGTGGGAAGAAATAATCACAGCATCAGTTTATCTTTCTTCTTCCCACAGCTTTGCATTGGAGGAATAGTGAACATAAGACATGCAACTTTCTATGTGGTCCTTGGTTCTTGTTGTTGTTTTTTTTTTTACCAGAAGAAAAAAAGTCACAATGTGTAAACCATTCACTGTTTCCTTTCTGCAAAAACAAAACCTTTAACCGGAGAAATGCAAGTGCAAATTTTCAGCACATGGCTGGGAGCTGCTGCAAAAACCATCCAGCTGAAAAACACTCACATGGAGTTATGAAAATTGCACAGAAACAGCACTAGTTAAAAAATAGAACTGTCAAAATATAGATCAAGATTCTCCTCATACGTCCAAAATGGATCCATACAGAAGTTTTGATTCAAAGCAGGTGGTAAATTGACTTACCTCCGTTGCACATCACTGTATCTGGTTGGTCCGCACTTAACCCACTTAACCCATGCCAATATTCCTTATTGGCATGGTAAATAAGGAGAATGGATAAACATATTAAAAGTGGCTTATATGCTATTCCTATTTTATTACTAGACCTTGTGGGAAACATGTGGTTTAAGACATGCTCTCACCTTCTCCAGCCTATCTGCTTTTATTTTAAATCTCTGGTGACAATTCACTCCTTTTAAATGAATTCCCTTCAGTTGTTCTTTTTCCATAACCTATGAGTGTCAGAGATTTTATGGCAGTTTTCTACACAGAACTAAATGTGTAAGTCTTTAAAAGCCATGTATGAAAACAAAATCTGAAATGCAAGGTGCTTTTGCCTTTGATATACAATTGTTCAGGAAAAGGCAGAACTGAGATCCTCTGAAGGAAGAGAAACAGGAGATATAGCTCCAATTTAGAGCATCAGATGTCAAATGTACCAAGCCATATCTGGTCATTTAAAAGAGTGAAATTTTTCTTCTTCTGAATGTCTTCTTGCTTCTGAATGAACAGGAAGCAATTGCTTGAGAAAACTGCCTTTTCTTTATGGAAATTCCATTGGCAGAAATCACCAGGTGAAAAATTATTTACCATTTTTCCCATTGGTTTCTATTTGTTGCCATAAGATGTTTGCTCCATATTACCTGTTTTAGTTTTCCTATTTGTTTTAGTCAGGGCAATTCTTACTAGTTCACCTGCTTTTTCCTTGGATAGTAAAGAATGATTTCCCCGTCCCACCACAACAGAGCTCTGCTAAAATCATGAATAATGGATTGAAAATCCACCCCAATGGGCTCCAGCCTCTCACAACAGCAGCTGAAAGGCTTGTTTCAGCAAGAAAACAAAGCCCTGCTCTTAAGGCAATTTCAAGATATAATTTCCCTTGGACTGGGACTCTAACCCACCTCTTTAACATGCAAATACATTCTAATAATCCTGTTGCACTAACAACTCAAGTGCAAAGCCCAAACAACAGCACATGTTTACAGTTAGGCCACAGGGTAGTTTCAAGCACATGTCTGTCTGCATTTATTGTATTTAATAAAACAATTAAGCTCCCATGGTGCTCATTTTTAAAACTAGAAGGAATCGCTAAATGGAAGCTCTCTGGCATTGCTTGTAAAAATTTTCATTTAAAATTCAGCTTGTAAAAAATAAATTTAGACAAATGAGCTTGCTTGAATAAAAAGAAAACATTTTCCTCAGTGAAATGAAAGGCCAGTGCATATATTTTCACTTCTTAAGTCAAAGCAGATAAAGACTCATATATAGCCATACCCACTCTGGGCATTTGAATCTCCATTTGAAAATTCTGTGGTAATACAAAGACACCTTTGATATTTGAACAGTATTCTTTCCTGCTCATTCATCTGGAACAAAAAAAAATACAGTTTTTGATAGTGCAGTGTATGAAATTTTAAAAAACTAATTTAAAATGAATTAAAATATTTAAAGTGAATAATAAAATTAAATTGAATAATGAAATAATAAAATGATACCTTTCAAAATTATTTTGAGAAATCTTCTCCTTCACTTGACTACTACAGATTTTAAGATTTCAAGATTTCAGTGGGTTGTCTTCCCACTGAAAAGTTTTAGCATAAAGCAGTGTAATATTCTTTTTGCTTAAGTGATCATGGCTGTAAAAACACCTTAGTCTTCCACATTTTCTCAAGTTAGACTATTTGAGCCCCAGCCTAGGTCATATTTTGAGCACATCTCGTGCTAAACTGGTTATTCTCTACCTTCGATTATAATCACTGGTTTGCTCCTTGCCAGGCTATGGTGTGAAAAATTTCCCTTCTCTGTTCAAGCACAGTTTACTGTACATATTTTATACCTCATCCCATCCTGGGAGAGGGGAAAAAAAAAGGTATTGTGCCACAATTAGCCAAATCCCTAATCCTAACAGAGGGCATACATACACAGGCCTTAATATAATAACGACACTGATCTAAGATAAGGGGCAACCAATAAATATGACAGCATTTAAACAGAAATATTGTAATATTCAAATATTGCTGAAGTAATTTTCTAACCCTATCTACCATAACTGTTGAGCAATATCAATTTCTGATTTCAAAGAGATCCATGCTGAACAACAAGATTTCTCTACGTCATTGGCCCCTTTCACAGCTGAAGAAGAATTACTTTACCCTTCAGTGAGAGGCTTATGGTGTTCTATATTTATCAGATATCCTTCCCCTGGCCTATTATCACTGTTGCAGGTGAAAATTGGAAGAGACGCTGCTGAACAAATTTACTGTTCTAATCCTACCAAAGATCTGTGCTGTCAGGATATTTTAAACCAAACCAAACAAAACCAGCAAAGAATTACCTGTGTTAAGATGAAGGGCCACTTTCCATTTCATATTCACATCATCATGCTGCTTGGCTACCAGCTGCCCTGCAGTTTTTGTCTTCCTCCCCCTGCTTTCTATTCCTAGCTATTGCTTACTCTCTAACCCGGCTGTCCTAGCCAGCAGTCCCCTTTCTCCAGACTGAGTTAGGGTTTCAGATCTATTGAGTCTTCTTCATGTGACTTTAGAATTAAAAGCATGTTAGAACTCATCCCTCAATAGAAGCTACTCTAACTATCACAGTTCCAAGAACTGGCTTTCCAGTGGCCAGCAGAAAAGTTTCTCACTGCTCCAAGCCCACCTTTATGGAGACAGATTCGGAGTTGTTTTCTTCATGACCAGTGGCATTGTCCGGACAATCTGTGTTCATGAGAAAGCAGCTAAGGAGATGTTTACTGAGGCAGATATGGCCTCTGCATGAATGAAGATTCAAATAAAAACTGATTGATGCTTTTGACAAATGGAAAAGTACTCAACAACCCAAACAATGGAGACCTATGCTTTAAATAAGTTTTTTTGGAAGCTGCAGGGTGCTGTATTCCTGCATGGTGTTGAGAATCACCATGCACACCAGCATCTACTGACAGGCAAAATGCAAAGCATTCTCTATCTGTAGACTTTCCAGATTTAAAATATCCAACAAGGTAAGACCTAGAAGCATGATCAAATATCAGGGATTGCAACCTCTTCTGGAGATCTTTCATTTCTCTACTCAGTTGTAAAGGGTCCCTGAGCTCTACTTTCTCCCTTGGCAAAGCTACTTGGAGCAGGGTGATGGCTTGAAAGTTAGGACAAATTTGCTTCTCTGAAATGGCACGGGGCAAATGAGATCAATCACAAATTTCACAACAGGGGTGCCGTGTTTGGTCTAATTTACTCCCCCAACCCCTGGCTTCTGTTACTCATCTCCTGGCTAAGGCAGCAGGAGGCAGTGAGTAAGATGGGCTGCTTTGCTGACCTCTAGACTGAAACAGCCCTTGTCTCCTGGCCTGTAGAGTTTAATGTCTCCATCAGCTCTGCGGTGTGGGTCGGTGGTGGCTCGCTGGTGGCGAATCTCTTGCTCCTCTCCACGATCTTGTTTGAGCTGCCACTCCATCTGATCCCTCAGTTTGGACTGTTAGATGCATGGGCGGTTTATAACAAAAAAACAAAAGGACAGGAGGGAATAAAGAAAACAAAAATGGGTAAGGTAGACGACTGAAAAACTACAAGACAAAGAAAAGCGTGAACAGAAAAAACAACTTAAATACAGTGGCATAAGAAAGTGAAGAGAACAAAACCAAAATGAGGATGAGCAAAATGATGGGCTGAAACATCTGAAAAGCAAAAAAGAGAAAGAGAGGAAAAAAGAATGCAAACACTGGTTATGAGGCGCATGCAATGAGGATGCATGAGTCAAACCAACAGCAAGCATACAAGTCATGAAGGATATGGGACACAAGGCTCTTCCTTCCTTACTTGTGCGGTGCAGAAAAGCCATATCCAGTGTGGCAGTTGTGGCAGTTTAGACATGCGCCCATGGGCAACGCTTTAGGCAAGGCAGTCCTTCGCTGGCTACAGAGCTTCTCACTCGCTGCTCGCTTAGGGGAGTGAGCTGTAAGCAGGCTTTTCAAAACACATCACTTAGAAAACTGCATTTGGTTGGGTTCTTTTGGCAACGCTTTTGAGAACATGCCTGACCCTTTTACAAGAGAGCATAATAAAGACCTCCTCACATTTCTTAGCAAGGCTTCTAATTTACATTCACCAGATTTTTTTTTTTAATTAATCTCCTTTTTTTCATGGGGAAACACTGCTGTTACAGACAAAAACAAGACAGATCTCTTTAACACCAATGGATTAGCCTTTTTGCCACGAGGAACCGCCTCTGAATCAAAGGAGTTGTGCAAATAAATAAAAGAAAAAAAACTATAAAGTGTTTGTTTAACATTACACACTTAATACACTGTGGGTCTGAAATCATAACAAAGCAGCTGTGAGGAAAATTAGCTCTAGGGTAGCAATTGCCAGAAAGAAAGAGAAACGATAAAGAGAATGAAGGCAAGTAAGAGGCTGACCTACCTGGAAGTCAGTGATTAATTCCTTCCCCAGGTTACCAATGGGAGAGTCTCGGGACATGGAGGTCATTGTGGATAGGAAACTGGAAGACTCTGTGAGATGGGGAAGAGGGGAGAGGTCCTCCATCTGCTCCTTAAGGCCCTCTCCAATGTGATCAACCTTTTCCAGGAAGGTCTGAAGCTCCTTCCGGAAAGCTTTCATCCTGGTGTTGACAGTGTCCAGAAGCTCTGGTTCATGCTTATCTTCTCCCCTTTCCTCACCACTTCTGAAATCCTGCTCTGTGGATGGGCTGCTGGTTACGTGCACCTTTGCATCATAAATCAAGCTGTCCGTATCGGTGATAAGGCGTTCCACAGTCCTCTCAAGTCGCTCGGCCTCACGTTTGATGTTAATTAATGACTCAGTGTCCTCTTTCACTCTCATGAGCTCGGTGGAGCACAGGTCGCTGACTTCTGATGGCTTCCCACTCCCAAAACCCGACGTCTTCTCATATACTTCTTCAGAGTCACTCTCGCCCCCAATGGGCCCCTCTCTCTTTGGCTGTGGCGGACGACCATCTTCGCTGTCACTCTCTTTTTTCCCAGCATCGCTGTCGGCATCGCTGTCCCTGGGGCTGGAAGTGCGCAGGCCCAGGTGAGAGGCCAGATCGTAACGCTGGACGTTGGACATCAGGACCCTGTTCTCATACTGGAGCTTCATCACTTTCCCGCTCAGCTCATTGATTTGTGACCTGGCCGACTTCAGCTCCTCTTGCAAGGTCCCACCACCCTTGGATGCTGCATCATCCAACCAGCCTGGCTCCTGGCCCGGCTCGAACTTGAATTTGTTCAGCTCATTCGTTAGCTGCTTGTTGTGATCCTCGATTTCAGAGATTGACCTCCTCAGCAGCTCTGCTTCCTCTTCCACAAACTGCAGGTGCCTGCGTAGCTCTGTGGCTGACTCCACAGAGTCTCCGTAGGGCGAGGTAGGAATGCTTGAAATGTGGTCCCTGCTGAGACACTCTTTTTCATATTGGCACCTCATATCCTCCATCTCAGCTTTAATCCCCCTGTTCTCCACCTCCAGTTCCACTATTTTTCTGCCCAGTATGTTGGCTTCCTCCTCCACCAGCTTCAAACGAAGCTTCAGCTCAGCCTCCCTGGTGCTGGGTGGGCCCCCTGCTTCCCCAGTAGGCAGGGGACTGTCCACATCTCCATAGATGGACTTGTACTTCTGGAGCTCCTGCTCCAGTTCGTCCTTCTCCCTGCCCAGTTTGGCCATCTTCTTACGCATCAGCGCTGCCTCCTCTTTGGCAAACTGGAGCTGGCACTTCAAATCAGCACTGTCCTCCTGCCAAGAATAATCACCCCCCCAACCCAAGATTATTTTACAATAGAAGAACAACCAGCAGCTTGTTTTCCAAAATCTCCACCTCCCCATCCTCTGACCTGTATCTGTTAAGTATGCAAACAATTCACAGACAGAGCTGCGCAAACCACACAGTTGACACATTTCATGGCTTGGTCTTGGTTAAATTGGCAAAGCAGCTTGACCAGAGTTAAAGAGGGAGAAAAAAAAGTGTGCCTGTGCAAGTGTTCAGTGATGTAAGAGTGCCAACACAATATTTTTTCTCAAATGCTGAGCAGACTTTGTGGAAAATAATGACTCAAATGACAAGGTTCCATGATTTGCTGGCACTTTTTGTTCCATTCACTTTTTGTTCCATTTACCTTTAATGACACGCTTGTTCCCCTTAAGCACCATGAAACAAAGACTACTCAGATGAATTTAATCATCATAATCTCAAATTTTGGGCTCTTTCAGCTAGAAAGCACAACAAAGGTGTGCTAAGCTGCATGGCTGACTTGAAAAGTGAAGACTTTAATTACCATGATCTCACAATGCTGTGAAATAGACAAAGTTCCTAACTTGCTTTCCAAATAGGAAACACACTGTTTTGTCTACTGCTGTTATTATTAGGACAGAGCAGATTGTGACCTCTGTTTCTGGGATGAACTGTTCACAAGGGAGATCGGTGAAAACATGTGAAAAAGCAAAGAAAAATTCATTAAATCATGTTTACATCCAAATCCATCCCATGTGAAAACCTGCATTTTTCAGGAAGTACCAGGGTATTGAATGACTATTTGGGGTTTTTTGTGTGTGTTGGGCATTAAAGAATACTGCATCTCATCTCAAATGAAAACTCCAGTGTGTATTGTGCTGAAATAAGAGACAAGGTTAAGTAAATTCTAAGCCAATGAACAATTTCTTTGCATGAATCACTTTCATGAATTGTCATGGAGATACAGGCACTTGGCCTCAAAAGAGACACATTTATCAGCATTAGCAGTATAATGGAAGGCAGGCTTTGAAAGATGATCTCCTGAGACAGCAGATTTTATCATTGTTGGTAGGCCATGTGGACATATGTGCAATTATATATGGAAAATTCATTTCGGTCTCCGGAGCACTGTTATCTTTCACAAGCACCATTTTGTTTTAATTCCTAATAATGGAAACCAAATTCAGAGGAAAACATAACTGACTTTAATTGTTCACCCAGATCAGGCTATGAAAAAAAAAATTATGAAACTAATTATGGCTCAGCAATCTGAGGAAATTATTTAATTTCTATAGCACAGATCCTAGCACACTGGTCTTCTATGTTACCTAGATTAATTTTGCCACATTCTACTTACACAAATACTAATTATGACTTAATTTCAGCTGTTAATAACTGAATAGACACAAAAGCAATTGGTTGTATACTTCTGAACCCAGTAAGCTTTCTGATTGATGCTGCCTGCTGCAGGTTGTGACTTTAAAATGCTAAATAGAAAAAAAGTTAACTTACATGTTAAAAATATGATAGACATAAAAATTAGTCAAACTTTTTGTTAATATGCGGTTTTAATGGACAACCAAGAGCCAAACACAACTGCAATCAGCTCATGGGTTGATTAAAATTTTGGTCATCGTGTCTCTGGCATCAGAAATATAAGTTTTAAATTAATTCAAGCAAGGTACTTATGATTGATTAGAAGCAAAGCCTTAGAAGATAGACTTTCTATCCTCTCTATTGTCTCCTTGTATACATATGTCTCTTTTTCACACATGTATTTAAAGATTGCTTTTCTCTTTATAACTCAAAAGTGCAAATTAAGAATCGAATTAAAACCTGGGAAAATCCTATGCGGCCTCTACTGCAGTCACTCTGAATTTTGGTTGCTCTGGCTGGATAAGACTGTATGATTAAAGCATCATCTTTTTCCAGGGTTGTGCAACACATTACCTCTGTTTTTCCTATCATGGTGAATCAGTTTATCCCCAGAGCTCTAGGTTTTGCTTTTAGGGAAATACAAAGATCACAAGGAAAGTTACAGCCAGACTAGTGCTGCACATCAGAACCCACAGGTGGGATGATTACTCCTGGTTATTTATTTATTTATCTGTTAATAGCTGGTCTGACAATTTTTTTATTCTGTCTTTGTAATCCTGCATTCTTTACCCAACTCCTTGTCTGCCTTTGGCTTCAAGAGCCCAGCTGTCTGTGGCAGTGGCTGGTGCCTTGCACCTCCCTGGCTGGAGCAATGCCTGGCTGAAGGGGCAGCCTGCCCCATTCCTCTGCTCTGGGAGCACCAGGGCCCTGCTGCCACCCTGGGCTCCGAGGCACCTCCAGCCAGACACCCACTGCCCTTCAGACAGTACAAATCACAGCACTTGGGACAACACGCTCAGAGCTTTGATGCTTTTGAAGAAAAGGGAAAGGCTTCGATGGGCTCAGGGTCAGGGCCCCAATGTTTTTGCTCAGCATCACTGCACGACTCAGTGCATCTGTGGAGTTAGTGTGTTATTATTGCAGGACAAAACCACTTTTAACTCCTTTAATGGCATCACTTTATTGCCAGGTTTTGTCTTAGCTATTTTATTTTTTTTAAAGGATCAAACTTTCAAGTTTTGTTTTTTCGCAAGAGCTGAAACAAGCAAGATTTTTTTTCATTAGACAAACACAAGCCTTATACAAAACAACAGAGCTGATGGATGTTAATCTTGCCTACTAAATATGGATCCCATCTGGAAAGGTGAGAAAGCTCTAGATCTTCCTCACTTCCCTGCCAGGGAACATCCCATTCCCCTGACAGCATTTTTTCCAAAGGAAAAGAATGGTCAGGAGAGATTTATCAGCCAGATCTAAGCATGCCAGAAGGGTAGGACTCCAACCTTCATGCATCTGTCCCTCTGAAACTTTGTGTACAGAAATATCACTGATTTCTTGATCAGTTGAAACCAAGTAGAAACAGTGTGAGAGTGAGACACCCACACAGGCAAAGCAGAATTTTGACATATAAGGCAAACTAAAGAGAGGCCAAATCACTGAAACGAATAGCTCATTATTAGTTAAATTGTGAATAAAAAGACAGGAGAGGGGAAAAAAGAAAAAAGAGGAAAAATAGCCTTTCCATGGTTTTGGAAGAAGAAGAGGCTCAAATCCCAGGGGCTGAATATGTACAATGGCCTCCTGACTGTATTAAACATCCAGTATGTGCATGCTCTCCTAAAATGTGTACATAGAGCAAATCATAAAGAAAGAAAAGAAGGAACAGCAGCGCAAAGATGTGACAGTCACGGTGCTCTGTCATGGACGTTGAGAGATCATTAAGGATAAATGGGAGCTAATGATTACCGATGGTGATAATTTGCATGCAATTGCACTGCGGCTCTGCATGGCACTTCAGAAGGATGTTAATGGGTAAAAAAAGCAGAAGAAAAAAGCCCAGATCCTTCCCCACAGAGTCTGCTGTCTAATTTAGACAAATGCAGAATGTGGAGATAAAGAAATGAAATGTATAAGAAATAAATTAACTTAATTATGCAATGTAAATGCATAATGTGTGAGAGATGTGATCAGAATGAAGAGCTGATCAAAAATTCCCCAATACAATATTTCTTTTCTGGCAAGAAGACACAAAGCTAGATAGAGGCCAACACCATCTCCTCTACCACCACCACCAGCTCAAGGGAACTGCCAGGCAGAAGACTGGTAAGCAATTTTGGGGTTGCAGGTCTGATGACAAGGCAGTACAACCAGCACCCAAGCATCTGGCTGAGTGCCAGCACTCCTACCTTGCGCTGGAGAACCACTTTTCTTTGTGGTTTGCCTGGTGCCTGGTATTTTCCAAGAAGTTCCGTTTTGCAATTCTGCTGAATAAAAACTTTTTTTCTTCAATACTGCTAGAGGTGGGAGAGTGCTACTACAAATTCTGCTTTTACACAGCTTTAAGACAATCAACTTCATGGGCATTATTTACTTGGTGTGCCCTGTGGTGGGTGTGAAGTTCCAGTCAATTTTCATGACGGGCTTGCAGTAAGTAAAAACACCAGTCTTGCCACATGCTGTATGTATCTGTACACATGTGGATGCACAGAATCTAAGTTTGAGGCCTTCTCAGTCACAAAATATATAATGGGTGTTCATTCTAGGTATTTAAGGCATCTGTCCCTGAAGAACAGTATTTTGAACCTCCTGGCCTGTGTCTGTACCCAACCCTTTTGGGCCATGCCCAGGACTGGGCAGCTGCTTGACCAGGTCAGGCATGTGCTGTGATGTGCCTTGATCTCAACCAGCAAATACCTCTGAATGGATGCCTGGGTTTGGAGACACTGGAGATATTGGTAATATCCTAGAGTTGGGAGAAAGCCAGGACATGTACATATAGGCTGGGCTATGTTAGCATATAAGGTTATTTTTTGGTCTTTTTTACCCTAAAGAGTTGGTGAAGAAAACTGAATGGCCACCTTGCAGAGTGCTGATGCAATAGTTTTCATTTCCAGCCCCAAGTCCTTTGTTTGCAAGAGTTATGATGTGTGTGTAGTGGGTAAAAGTTTTTCTCCCCCTGTGCCTTCTGGGAATCACTTCTCTTTGTTGAGAGCAGTGCTGAGCTCACACTTAGTTACTCAGTTCATTTTCTGAAGTTAATTTTGTTAATATTGTGAAATCTTTTTAAGGCTTTCCAAAGCAAACTGAAGCTGCTCTTAATGCCTGGATTTGGGTGGAGTAAGCAAGCACGAGGATCCATTCTCTTTGCACAGTTCTGTATTTCCAGGAATGAGGAAAGGAAGGACTGCTCACAAACCCCTATGGACACAATTGTGCCTTCATGTAGCTTCATCTGTAATTTGCATGTGTGTGGGCATGTGTATATATTTCATCTGTGTATTTTACATACTTGCAGAAAAACAAACTCTGACCTGACTGACGACTTAAATAATTCTCCATAGCAAGAGCCTCATTTTAAGGTATGATTAAGCCATGCTTGTGTCATCTTGGCCGGGACACTCAGTCTGCTGTGGCCTGGGAAAGCAGGCTGAAGTGCCCTGGCCACTGGCCAGTCCCCTAGTATGCCCACTCAGCTGCCTGCCCTACCCCCTCAAGTTCAACATATTGTAGTGATTTATTATGGTTTCAATTACAAATCAATGGACTTTAGGACTAGACAACCCCAAGGTCTCGGCTGTGTACACTGAGCCTGCAGAGGGGGCAGCAGGGGAAGTGCATCCCTTCTCTAATGAAGGCACAATGTCTCTCCTGGCTCCTTTCCCAGCAAGGTGAAATACTATCCCCATCTCCCTGGCTATAAACAGTAACTGTGCTGGGAAAAGCTTTAACTCCTACAGTCAGCACAAAAAGCAGAGGAAACCAGGCGGACTGCTTTCCTGAGAAGGACTGACCAACGAGATTCCAATAAAACACGTGTCCAAAGAGAGACTGAGTGGGCAGCTTGGGCTCTCTGAGGTACCTCAGCTTTGGGGAGCACAGGTTCCTGCAACATCAGGGAGATCAAAGGAGACACGAGAGCTCAAGAGGTGTCACTGCAGTGTGTGAACTGCATTCCTGCCAAGACACTCATTAGCACAAAACCTTTGGCACGGCGTATAAATTTAGTTAGTCCCTAAGCTGTGATCCAATTATTTTGTGAGGCAAGGTGATTTGCTCCTCTTGTAGCAAACCTGCAGCCTCAATCAATGGATACAGGCACAATGAGCCTGAGAAGCTGCACAGTTTAGAGACTGCACTTCTGTCCTAAATTGCTTCTACATTATCTCTGGGAGGTCTCAGTAGATTAAGGTCTAATTGCACTCAAGTTAATATACCTGATGGCCAGTCAAAACCCATAAAAATAAATTTTGAGTTGTATCATGTGATTTTTGCTCAAAGTTACATGTTCATGGAAACCATACCTGGGTAAATGTCTTTTTTTCTTTGTGGATTTCTCTGCTGCCTCTCCTCTTCAGGGAACTCTGCAAGAGAAGCAACGCTGTGTTATTGATAAGCTAAATACAAAGCCTGCAAGTCTGGCAGGTTTCACCACTATACAATTAATTAAGGAGAGAGAAAGAAAAAAAGAAAGAATATTCTCCTGAACAGCTGGGGATTTAATTTTTCATGATAATCCTTAAAAGAACAAGGTGATCATGTCCTTGTCAGTGAATCTTTTAATGCCCAAAATTTCCCACCAAAATAAGGAATAAAATTAGTTAAAACTTCACAGAGGGGGGACTGAGGGGGGAACATCCTGCCCCCCCGCCCCCCCCCCCCCTTTTCTTCTATGGACCACCACAATTTTGGCTAAACTTTCTTTTTGCATGGGGCAATGATGCATGTTTGATTAATCCAGGGCAGAAGTCCAAGAATCTTACTCACAGTCGATGTGAAACACGTGGTGGAAACCTCAGAGGAAAGCAACCCCCCAAAAAATAGGCAAGGACATGCATGTTTAAGCTATGTGGCATAACATTATGTGTTAACCCGTGCTAGCAAACATACTGAAGAGCCCAGATAAAGACCAGATAATTCTCCGGGTATTTTTGAATTTACTTCATAAACCAGATATTATTGGTTTTGCAAATCTTTATATCCCTTTATAAACAAATATTTTTAAGACATGGAAATGATATCATCATCACTGCTTCACCGAGAAACCTCTCATTTCCCAAATGGAAAAGCACAGTTTTCCTGAGAAGTGAGAGGTAGAGCACTATCAGGATGTTACCAATGTTTACTTGTGTGTCAAGACTGGTTTCCAAACCAGTGTGAGCCGGGCCTATTTAAAAAAGGCATATTTTTGACACTTATCAGGTTGAGGGGATCAATAGTTATCAGAGGAAAAAAAAAGGCAGAAAGCTGGGAACTGCAGAGTTTGAATTCAAAGCAGGCTGTGTTGCTCTATCTGTGCCCAGAACCTGAAGGCTGATACTCTCCAGATCACCCCAATATTCTGGCCTCTTTTATTTATTACTTCAGTTTATATTTGCTCTGTGGAGGACAATTTCCAGCTGAGGTAAAGCCTGGGTTGTCATGGGTAGCCCACAGTTGGTAAGATGGGTTGCCCTGCTCCTCTGGTCCATGTGATGGAGCAGTGTCTCTGGACCAGCACCTGCTCCCATGTCAGGTGGGCTAAATCCCAGTCTCTGTAACCCACACTGACCCAGCATTGCAAACCAGGAGGGAAGAGGAAGGGACAGGAGGGAGAGTCATCCTGTTAATTAGCTAAGTCCAGCCTCGTGCCCAGCCATGAGCTGGCAGAAAACACGATGAGAGCTCGGGGACCAGCACACACACCACACACAAATCTGAACCAAGAGCTTTCCCTGGCTTTGTGGTTTCTGTCTGTTCAGCTATGCAGCTACTGCACATTATAATTATTGCACACTAAGACAAATCTCTCCTTCTACTCTTTGTTATACACAGATAAGTAGTTAAAACCCATTCATACGCAGCACCATATGCCCAAGACATACTACAGTTTATTTTTGCTAATCTGCTCTCTACTTTAATCCAGTGATTTGCTATAACTAATGAAGCTGAGTAAGAGAAATGTCTTTTTCTGGATACTGAAACAGTTCAATAAAAAAAGACTTTAAAATCATCATATGAAAACCTGTTACACAAGCTTAGGCAGGACAAACAGTTACTGTTTTCTCTCCCTTTTTTCTTTTTTTTTTTTAATGTGGTGTTATTCTAGAAGCAGATATGTAACTGAAAGCAATCACCAGTCAGCAGCATCACTCCCAGGCACACAAGAGGGATCACATTCTGGTTGAATAGAGATGGGGCATAGCCCTGGTCCTCACATGTGACTTCTTTTCGATGTGACTTCAAGCAAGAGCAACTTGAGTGAAAGGAGGTTGTCTGGATACTGCATGTAATTTGTAAGCCCTTAGAGTCAGGGATGAGGCAATCAATTTCTATAGAGGCCTCAATGCCCAGTTGTAGCAAATAGCTGCTCATCATGCTAGAAATGAAAAGCCTTGTGCCAAATGCTAAAACCTCTTGCTCTTAGGCAAAAGGTAACACTTAGACACATCCAGCTCGAGAAACTAGGAGATATAAACACATGGACTACAGTGTGCAAGATAAAGTAATAAAGACTTTGCTGTGTAGTATGGGACAATACCTGGGAAACAAGGGGAAGGGAATTAAAATCATGGTAGATGACATGGATGACAGGCTGAGAAACGGGTAGGTAGCAATCCAGCTTTGGAAACTGTAAGCTCCACTCCTAACTGAAACAATTAATTCCACAGATCCAGACTAACAGGTTTGTAACATATTGCCTTAGATGAGGCCTCATTTTAAGCATTTTCACACTGTGCTGTTTGGATTTGCATAAGAACAACTTTGTAATCAGTGCTCAGGTGGGAGCTTTGTATTTCCATAAGGCAGAGACTCAACCTTAGGCTGAGTCTGTGCTCGGTGTAAGAAAAAGACAGGAACATTTACCTTTGGGGACTGCCAGTGGATTACAGGGAGAAACTTCCCTCACATGGATCAGTGGAGGACTTGAACACAAGCATGGCAGCAAGGCACTGCCTGCTCATAACCCCCTAAGCCCTACATGAAAACAAGGCATATCTCCATTTCAGCACTATGGGACCAGGCTGCACTTGTGTATGAAACACCAGCCAATACAGCTGGGCTAAGAGCAGAGGCTGCTGCTGCTAAAAGTAGGGGAATGTGCTACAAGCTTAAATAATTTAAAATTCAAAATGGTCCAATAAATGAGCATTTCTCTTTGATGTACAGGAGATTGGCATCAGAAGCTGATATGAATTAATGCTTGAAGGAACATTTCTATACTACTTTCTATACTCAAGAGACCAGCCAGGGTTGGCTGTCTACCAAGAAGTCTTTCAATGATGGTTAAACAAGATTTTATTAGTCCTTTGGTTAACAGAGTCTCTTAAGGAAGTGGTTACTTGTGCAGACATTTCCTACCTTTCACTGCAATTTATTGATGGACCTCTTGGCTACCAAAGAGAGCTAACGTATGGAGGCCCAGTGTTTTAAAAGTTAAACTTCCCAAAAGATTATTTGGTGTAGGGATTACAGTATTAACAGTGGAAAGAGGCACAATGATTTTTACTTTCCCTAGGAGCCTAGCAAGGATGGGAAGAGGTAATTTGCATTTTCTGGTGAATTCCATTTTTACCAGGTCAAAGGAGAGTCCTGCAAACTGAACAGTGAAAGTGAGCAGTGAAACCCACGTGGGGGACAGCAAGCAGGAGTCAATGCACTGGAACTGGTGGTTGGACAAAATATGGAAATAAAATTTGAGTTAAGAGCAATTGTACATGTAAGCACATGATAGACTACAAGTTTACATACTGAAGCAAGTGCAGAGTAGGATGAGAACAGAGCTGTAAACAGGCATTGGTAGAGAAGGATTTGAGAGAACCAAGAGTCCTTAAGAGCTGCCATCCTGTCAGTTTATTCACTGCTGCTGAGAGGAGCAAGTAATTTGGGTGGCAGTCTGACATCTGCAGGCAAGCGTGGGCTTGCTATCATATGTGCATCAAACTAAACCTGCAAAATTCAGTAGCCAGTCACTGAAGTGACAATGCCTGCAACTCAAAAACAGAGAGGCTGGGTTGGAAAGTCCAGCCCCGAAGGCAGTTTCTATTACTGTGATGTGTGAGGAATTACACACCAGCATCACTGGCGCTTATGAGCTGTATTAATAATGTTCTGTGCCAGTGATGGCTTGCTACTGATTGCTTTGAAATGGATAATCACAATTTTCATTTGCATGCATTAGAAGATACTGCCTGTGAGGGACCTGACAGTATTTTAAAAAATTATGCACAATGGACCGCATCCACTTGCTCCAAATCCAGCAGTAGGTGATACAGACCACTTGCAGATTACCAGGAACTGCAAGGCCAACAGCTTCAGAGCTGCACATTGGCATTTCATAACAAGAGCTAAATTCTTGCTAGCTGTTGGGGCCTCTCATGTTCAAGAATGAACAAACCATCCAGGGGGACATAATCTCTGCCCCACAGAATGTGACTCATCAAGAGATCCTGCCAATGGACCGACTTTTTCATAGCACTTACTCTCCAAGAAACACCAGTGGTTTAAATGAAGGTAATTCTGCTTGGCATCTATGTGAATCAGAAGAAAACCAGATCCTCTTGTTAACAGATGGTCAGAGGGTGGATTTATCCCCAAGAGATGTAAACCAGTGTTCATTAACTGCACCACCAATCAGGAACACTTCACTGCAAGCGTTTTCCAGGCACTGTGCAGGACTGCATAGGAAGATTCTGTCAGGAGATGAAAAAGGATGGGGATCTCCATGTTCCTTCTCCAGCAAACCCCCTCCACACAAATGAAGCTCTGATGGCCACTGCAGGCTGTTTCCCTCTTAACTTTTTGCTGCTTTGGACTTGCCAGACCCTGACAATGAAGACATGCACGATTCTCCTTCATCTCACTGTTTTAGAGCTCTCCCTGTTTGTCCAGGGAAAAACTCTTTGTGCAGAGGTCTGACACTCTTAAATCAGTGATGAATAAACTCCTCTTAGAAGAAAAAAACATGTCCTGTACAATGACCAGAACCTGTTTCTTTAGAAGGGGCAGATTTTAGATATCACACTGCACTGTCCTTTACTGTTACCAGCCCATTTGGGAAAAGGAAGCATTTCCCATTTCTGTAACAATATCCTTTATTTAAGGTAGGACAGGGTGACTTTCCATTCTTTCTTTAGGCCTGAAGTGTCTCTAAGTCCCAAGTATTCGACTGAAGATCTGCTTTGCTGCCATCCCATTCTTCTGTATCTCAGCAGCTGCGCAGTGAAAGTACAGCTTTTTCTTTGTGAACTCTTGTACATATCTACAGGATGGTTAATGGAACTGGAAACTACAATGAAATTCTAATTGCTTTTCAATTGCTGTAGGCCCTTGAAAAAGATATCTCACCAGCCCCTGATAAAGCTGGGCTTGACGCAAGTGATCT